TCTTTGGGTGAGGTCAAAGGGGTGTTAAAACGGGGCCCCGTTTTTTCCGGGGGAGACGGGACACGCCAGTCGCAGCGCATTTGGGGGGCCTGGCGCTCCTGGCGCCAGGACAAGACGAAGCAGCCGGGGCCGCTGTTTCGTGCGGGGGCCCGGCGGCGGAAAGCCGAAGGGCCGGCGGAAAGCGGCGGCTTTTTTGGCCGTCGGCTAGCCCGATTTTTGGCAGGGAGGTTTTAGGGCCACGCCAAATGGCAAAAACAACCACGAGTGGAAACAAGAGAGCGCTCTTGGTTTTTTTGTTTTTTGGGTGGGGGGGGGGATTCACTAAATAGGGAAGCAAACTACTTTTGGTCCAACATCCCATCTTTGACACCTGCGGACTGGGCATGGTGTGGCCACTGATTTTCTCGAACGTGGGATTCTTGAAGAGGCCATAGTCTCACACTCCACTTCGATGATTCGGAAGGATAGATGGCACAGATCTCACTATGTGGTTAAGTACTGGGGGATGACTAAAAGCCACATGGGGGAACGTGTGTCATCTACTTTTGGGACCAGAGCACCTGCTTTCCCAGAAGCTTTCCGCTACAAAACCAGCCAAAGTTGCTGGGAAAAACCGAAGCGAGCGGCAACCCAGGGCAGGGGCGACTGCTTGGAAACCGCCCCGTTTTCGGCGAACCCAAAAAAGGAGAGACACGCCTCTGCTCATGTTGACCCCATATTAGTCAACCCCAGTTTATGAATAGGGGGGTGTCCCTGGGTTTAGTGGGGAATCACCACTTTTGGAGGGGGTGAACCCCCCCTCCGAAACAGCCGGAGTTGATTTTCCCGGCCCAACATGATCCGATGGATCTAATCCGCTTACCCACGGCCATTTTCCAGGGGTTACCCCAGGCCCGCCCTGCGGCTGGCAACGGATCTGGCGGATCTCGCATCAAGGCGAGGTGCTTTGGGACCGCAGGGCGCCGGCCTCAGGCGCTTAATAAATGACGTCCGAATGTGGCCGCTGGGGTTCTGGGGATGGATGAAATCCATGTCGCAGTTGGGACTCTGTTTTTTTCCCCCCCCCCCTTCTTTTTTTGCTCCTCCAGCCTGTATGCACAGTTGGGTTTATCCAAGTGCCGGAGTTTGTGCATCCACAGTAGTTGTGTTTCTTTGGCATGGGGATGTTGAGCTCTGACAATCCAGGCCCAAACTATGAGCGGATGAACGTGAGAGTTTCAGGGGTCAGAAGTGGTCAACATTTCCACAGAAATTTTCGAGATGGACATGTATCCATTTTATATGCTGTCCCCCACCCCAAATGTGTTGTTGTCCTTTGGTACAGGCCCAAGTTGATTCTTTCACTCTTACTTGTACTGTAGGCAGTTGTTTGGTTGGTACATATCTTGTTTCGTTCTCGTAGATACTTGTTTGTATATTGTAGATGTTTTATTGGTATATTTTTCCCGTTCCTCACTGATAGGGGTTTGGTTGGTATGGCTCCCTCAAACCCAAGAATCCAGGAAACGGTTTGGATGCGGCGTTTGTGGATCTACCCCGTAGGGTAGTCAAAGATGACTAAAAAGGACCAGCAAGGAGAAGAACCCACAAAAGGCACATCCAAACCGTTTTCTAGAGGAACTGCCTGGAGAAATCGCCGTGCTTGGCTGATTCATAGCTCAAAAAGCAACGGATGGGCGTCTCTCTCGCTCTCTCTCTCTCTCTCTCTGCCTCTCTCTCTCTCTCTCTCTCTCTCTCTCTCTCTCTCTCCCTCTCTTTTTTCTCGAATGAAGGTCATTTGGATGTCTGATTCCGATCCAAGGCCCGGCACTGCCAACTCCCTGCGTCGCCAGTGCTGGGTCCAGCGGATGCGTCCGGCGGTGCTGGCAGATCCGGGCGGCTGGGAAGGGCGTTTGGTATACGTTTTTGCCCTTTTGTTGAGACGACGGTGCAAAACAACGTCAGGAGATGCAGGCTGATTTCTTTTCATTTTTGAAGCAATTGGAGGGTTAGGACTGGAAAGGGGTTTGTCCTCTTAGAGCCATGTCCATACCCTAGTGGGTTGAACACCTCACCACAAGACGCATGGTGTTTTTTTCTTTTTCCTGGGGCCCGGGAACATGCCGGACATGTCCTGTCGGTTCAGACCCAGCCGGGCTGAGGCTGGGCCTGGGGTGTTTGCCGGCGGCGGTGCTGGCGCGGGTGATTTTGGGCTGCGATCTCTCGGCGCTGCTCAGCTTGTCGGCGGCCCTGCCGGCGGTGGGCCGCCAAGGGAATGCCTCCACCCGGGAGGCAGGGGCAGGGGGATGTGTGCCGGTTGGCAGAACCCCAGATCAATATGGAAGCCGGAAAAGCGGCACTAGAAGAAGTCTCCCCAAAGCCCCCCACCGTGGTTCAATTCTTTCTTGGGTAGTGCTACAACAACCTTCTGGCTTGCCTTCGAAGGGGGTGCCCTCTCGCCAATTAACATGGAACCCTGACGTTTGGGGGTTTGTTTGGAAGGAAAATGCTCCAAACCAGGACCCCCCCCCATCTTACTTGGTGAGGGGGTACCGCCGAGGTGGGCGAAGCCATGCCCTCGGGACATCCAGCCGGCGGGCCTCGCCCTGAGCGGTGGCTGTCCTTCGCCCGCGCGTCGCTGCGCTGGGCCGACCTCTTGGCCGGGCTCCGCGGCCTGCCGAAGGCGGTGTCCGGCGCGGGCGCCAGCGCCCGTGCCCGGCGGCCGGCCGAGGAGTGAAGTTGTGGGGAAGGGGGCAGGGGATATGAAGCAATACTTGTAGGGGTGGGGTGTTGTTTTTGGAATATTGTGCTCAACAATACTGGGGATTGCCCACCAAGGACGGCGAGAGCTTTTCGGCCAGTGGCTTCAAAGCCACGGTGACGAGCGAGGCGTGCTGCGTGGCGATGTGCGCCGACACTAAGCTGCTGGCGACGGGGCATCAGCACGGGATACGTCTCTGGGGCTTGCCGGGCGTGAAGAAGATGGGCCTGCTGCAGACGCGGGGCGCCGCGGTGTCGCTGGACATCGGCCAACGCGGCGAGCTTCTGGCCGCGGTGCTGCTCAGCGGCGACAGCTTCTGCGTCTGCGCCTGGGACCTGACGTCCTTGTGCCCCAGGGCCGCGGCTTTGTGGCAGCTCCCGGTGCCGTCCACTCCTCTGCACTTCCTAGCGGAAGGGCTGATGGTCTCCAGCCCGCAGGGCCTGCAGCTCTTGGAGTCGCAGCTGCACAGTGGCGCCTCTTTTCTTTTCAAAAGGGCCTCCCTTTGGCAATCAGCCGTCGACGTTTCTCTCTTTTCTCGGCAGAACACGGGCCTCCCTTTGGCATGAGCCATCGACGTTTCTCTCTTCTCCTTCCTTTTTTTCTTTTTTGCGGCAACAAAACGGCCTCCGACTTCCCCTCCGCCGACGTTTTTCCCCGGTGTTTTTGGCCCCCGTCGGCAGAAGCGAGGACTTGCAGGGCGCCGCGCGGGAGATTCTGCCGCTCCCCGGCACCCCAAGCGCCTCCTGCCGGCTTGGCCTAGAGAGCCGCGTCCTGGCGGCGGTGGGCGCGCGCATCTTCGCGGCCGGCGCGGCCGCGAGCTCTTCCGATCCTGCTCCTGGGACCTAGGCGTGTTCCCTTGGTCGGGTGGTATCTTTTTTTTGTCTTCCTTCTTTTTCTTCTTTTGGTTGGGGCTGGAAAGGACACCAACAGGGAACGGTTCCCGCCATTGTTGGAGGGGTCGAAAAAATGCTTTTTGTTTGACTCGGGCTGGGGCCTAGGATTTAGTCGCCTTTTTTTTTCTTCTTCTTTCTCTCGGGTCCAGAGTCCAGGTAGGGTGTCCCCTAAAAAGAAACACTTTCATTTTGTGGCGAGAATTCGTTTGAAACCCATGCGACTGCCAATCCCTCAAAGCCAAGGTGGCTTCAACCCTGAAAAGCATGTTACACCTTCTTTCGAGCAATCACGGAAGTGGTCGAGCAATCACGGAAGTGGACCGTGTCGGGTCTTGGAAGACGAAAGCCATCCTCTTGACCAGGCCCCACTTTCGGCTTCAAAAAGAGGACAGACCCACATGTGCCATTGTCAAACACATGAATCTGGCTGGGATAAATGGGCTTCTTTTCAAGGGAGCCATGCCCATCACACAAACAAGCAGCCTGCACCATGGCGGAGTATATGACTCCTACCCCAAAGGGGCCAAACGGATGGGCAACGGGGACCTCAATCAATCTGCACTGTGTTGTGTTGCTTTCCTTTGGAGTCGGCACCACTTGGGGCTGAAAGCCCAATGTTCAAGAGGCCTCACAGACTTCCGAAGTATTCGTGGGTTCCCTCTCAGAGTTGGTACTGTTTAGTTTCGATTCAATGGGCCTTGGTCTTCCGGCACCCATTCTCTCAAAGGAAAGCCCAAGTCTGTATCATGTGCCCTTTAGTTTGGTTGGCTTCACTGTTGTTGGCAAGTGTTTTGTCATTTTAGAGTAAAGGGGAAGCCACCCCCTGACCACTGAACCACCAATCTGAACCACGAATTAGTGGGAGGCTCCGTAAAGTTGGCTCGCTATTGTTGGCAAGAGTTTTGCAGTTTGTCCCGCTTTTCGGTTCTGTTTATTTTTAGTAGAGGGCTGCCAAAAAAAACACAAGCAAGAAACACGCTTCGGGTCTTTTTCTTTTTTGGCAAGCCCGTGCCAAGGGTTGTAAAGCTGGCTGCCCAAAGAGAATTCTCCAAGGTACAGGGAAGAGTCTGTGCCTTCGCTTCCACCTCCGCCTCCGTCACCTCACTGGCGGCGTCCTCGTCGGAGGCGGGTTGATCGAAGGACACTTCCCCTGCGCAACTTTTGGTTTTAGTTGTAAAGCTCAAAATCGGGTTACTTGTCTTTGCCCCAGTCAGGAAGTGAGGAGGGCTGAACCAAAGGCCTTGGGCTCTTAGGATCCTACAATGTTGCCCCCATATTAGTAGATAATGATAGACCCCTGTTTATTAATAGGGGTTCCCCTCCAAAAGTGGCCTGATCCCCTACGAAACCCTGTGTATAAAACTGGGGTTGATTTTTATTTGGGGTGACCATTGCTTTCGACCCCGGGGCAACAGCAACCAGTGCGACATTACGCGGAATTTAGGGATTTGTGTCTTTTTTTTTGGCTCCTTCGGTTCTTGGAACCCCATAGGAATCCTAACATTACGCAAGAGGTCGATGCTGGTCAATATTCAGACCCAGGTCACTTTTTGGGCAGGTTGGAGTTTCACCAACAGCTAGCTGAGTCTTCTTTGGGGGGGGTTTTCCCTTCCATTTTACATGTGTTTGACCTGTTGTGTGATTAAGTTTTCTATTCTCATACCTCCCCCAACACTGCCGGTGTCATTTGTAGGGGGTCGTCCCCCTCCCTTCGCTAGGTCTGGGCAAATTTTTGGGTAGGTAGGTTTGGCTAGCTGACCTTTGGGGGGAGGGAGGGGGGGTTCTTCCCCCTCCCTTTGCGCTCGAAGTGCCAATCGGCTTGTCCCAAGGTGGCTGCCGCCACCTGCGACGGCCACATCTTCCTCTGGCGAAGCGACGGCGTGCCGCTGGCGGAGCTAAGGGCCTTGTCCGAGCTGGACCTGGAAAACCTGCGGCTTGGCGTTTGGGCTCTGCTTTGTTTGTTTGTTTGTTTCTTCGTGCGTGTTTTTTTTTGTTGTTGGTTTGTTTGGTTTTGTTTGTTTTGTTTGTTTTGTTTGTTTGGTTTCTTTGTTTGCTTGCTTGTTTGTTTTGCGGTTTTTGGGTTGGGTTTGCTTTGTTTTTGTTTGTTTGTGTTGTTTTGTTTTGTTTTGGCTTGCTTGGCTTGGCTTGGCTTGGCTTGGCTTGGCTTGGCTCGGCTTGGCTTGGCTTGGCTTGGCTTGGCTTGGCTTGGCTTGGCTTGGCGGCTTGGTTTGGTTTGGTTTGGTTTGTTTTGTTTGTTTGTTTGTTTGTTTGTTTGTTTGTTGCTTTGTGCCGTTTTGTTGGCTTGCTTGCTTGTTTGTTTTCATTATTTTGTTTCCATTTTGCTTCTTTGATTGTCTGGTTGCGGGGTTGGGTTGGTTCGAATTTGACTTGGTTGCCTGTTCGTTCGTTCGTTCGTTAAGGAGTTTCCCGTCTCATGACTGGGGCAAGTCGATGTGGGTCGCGAGCCAGGTTCGTGCGCCGCTCCCTTTGCTTTGGGTTTCCCCGTGTTCTCTACCTTTGGGTTGCATGTTCTGTTAAACGAAAATGCCAGGCCTGGAAGAAGCAAACTGTCTCAGCTGTACTTCGAGTTCTTTCCATGGATCCTTTCTGGGATTCCCCGCCGATGGGACGTACCAAAGGAGGTATCGGCCATGAAACTGGCTGCCCGATGAGGCCCGGCGCCGCCCTTTGAGGCTACCTGTCTTTAGTTTGAAGGGAAAATCCAAAGTAACCAGCATTTTGCACGGGCTTGGCGTACTTTGGATGGACGAAGTCCTGCACCACGTTGATACAATGCTTGAAACCAGAACGTTTCTTGAAGTTTCTTGGTATTATTAACGTACTTACGTTGGGGAATCGATTCCTTCCGTTGGGTTTCTGAAGAGTGGTGCCGAAACGAGGATGTCGCAGCCATCCGCAGTATTTAGCCTCCCACCAGTAAACATGGAACCTGACAGGGAAACGGTCCCTTTTAACGGAAAATTGCCCAAACCTGGACCCAAAACAAAACCCCGAACGTCGAACGGTTCCATGTGAAAAGGGTGGGAGGGTAATGGCAAGCCTGAAGGCGAGGTCCACCGCCTGACGGCTCCTGCAAGGTCCTGGTCCACCGCCCGAGCGGAGAACTTGAATCCCCTGGTGTCCTCGGTGCTGGTGCTGGAGGAGGTGCTGGCCGGGGCCTTAGATGTCGCACCGCGAGCTGCGTGGGCCTGTGGGCCTGTGGGCCTGTGGGCCCGGGGAGCGGCGATTTGGGTTTGGCAGGTGCGACATCCTGGGGCTGGGCCTCAGGTTTGAATTCAGGCGGATTTTGGTTGGGGGAGGGGGGCAGCCCATTTTTTGGGGGAAACCTGGACGTCTCGACTTTGGAGCTGTCCTTTTTGCAGAAGCCACTAGGATCAGCTTGGGCCCAGTGCTGCGCCCCGCAAGGGGTGACAAGCCCAGGTTTGTGCAGTGCATCTTGGGCAGCAGCAGGATTCAGGACGGGTCACGGGTTGAGGGGTTTCTAAAGGTGATGCCCCACTCAAGCGGAACTCAGAAAGGAGACAGTGGTTGACTTGAGGTTGTTTTGCCCCCTTGTTTTGTGTTGACTAAATATGGCCATGGAGTCAAGATCCAAGTCGTACCCCCAGTCAACATCCCAATCCCCACTATATATATATATATAGGTTCTAGAATGGGTGGCGCATAATCCGAACATCTCGTTTTTGGGGCGCACAGATTGGTCCAGTCAGCCGACGGCCAGGCTGCGTGGTCATGGCCTGGCATTTGCCAAGCTGCACGCGGCTGCCGGCACCTCGGTGGGTGGCTCTCTGCCAAGTCGGTTCGAATCCAAAAACCACAGAGAAACGAAGACTACTTGGCATTGAACTTGTCCGCATGCAAGACAGCTTTTCTGGCACTCAGCACCAGTAGCTTCAGCTCAGTTGTTGAGTTTCTTTATTTCCTTGTTGGTGTTTTTTTTGGATCATGTCCCTCAAACCCGTGGGGGGGGGGGGGGGGTAATTTTCTGGCCCTTTTCTGGCGACCGAAAACCGAAGAAAAGGAAGGACGGCGAAGAATCATGTTGATGCCGGATTGATACAGCCGTCCTAGTAAGCGGGTGTTCCCTCCAAATGTGATGAATCCCCCCCAAAAGGGGACACCTAGCTGGTGGTTAGAAGGGAGCCAAGAAGCTGGGGGTATCCAACAATTAGCTTGATTTCGGAGCTAGCAGGCGTTCTGCAAGGACCTTTTTAGACCCCCTCCTAGAAAACATCAACCAGGGGTCTATTCATCGGGTTGCTTTGATGTCGCCTACGCCCAGACTTGAGCGCGAGGCCCCATCCCTGGCACCTGGCTGGGCCTCTGGAGGCGGGGGTGCTGGGTGCCTCGTCAGCCAAAACAAAACACCAAAAAAGGGGCACCCTCAAAACAGACGCCTCGAATTCACGTTTTTTTCTTTCCTCCCCGGCCGGCCACCTGATTTTCAACGGCCGCTTTTGTTCCACGCGCCTGAACCAAGTGGCCTCCGACATCGGTTTCTGTTGCAATCTCTTCATGTTTTGCACGTGACCAATCCAAAGTACCAAAAAAGCTAGCTGCCAACAGATACACATGGGCGTGTTGTTTTTGTAGGCCCCCCAAGAAGAAGAGGAGAGAGCAAAGAAGAGTGGGTATGATTTGCTTTTTTGGCTTCCCTCCAAAAGGATTCTAACGCCAAAGCGGCATATCCAATCGAATGTCAGGGTTCCCCGGAGCTCGGCACGGCGCCGGTGTTGCTGAGCCGGGTGTGGGGGCTCAGTGGCTCAGTGGCTCAGTGGCTCGCTGCGGCTGCGGCCTGCTCGTTGGGATCTTTGTTTTCGGGGCCATCCAAAGCAGGTTTTCGGGGTCATTTGGGGTTTCTACATGCCCTTTTTGTATGGGCGGATTGCGCTTTTTTGAGGGTGCTTGCACTTCTTGTTTCCTGGTTTCAACTGGAAACCACGCAGAGCACCGAAGCCAGTTTGGGGGGTGCCCTATTTTAAGACACACCCATGCGGCTTTGTAGTAAACCCCCAGGTCATGGTGTATATTCTTGGGCTTGGGATTTGATTTCCGGGTTTTTGTGGATACATGGAAAGCCGCTCCCTAAGCGAAAAAGACATCCAAAGCTCCGAGCTCCAAAACGAGAGGGACGCTGCACAAAAAACTGCCCCCCCCCCCAATGACAAAGTCACAGGTTGGTGGCTTGGTGGGTTGGTTTCTGGCTTGGTAGGTTGCCTGGTTGCTGGTGGTTTCGGGGTGGGGATGCCACTTTTCCATGGGCCCTTCCCAAGACCCAACTCCAATCCCAGCGTCTAGGCCCTTGGTGGAGATTCCACTGAAGGGCCTTTGCCAGCCATAGGATCTTTCAAAGGATTTCAGGTTGAGGGGCGCCAGGCTGACAGCTTGACCAACCCCCTCTCTCACCCAAGCTTAAGCATCTGTGTTTGGCGCTTCTTTTTGATTGGAGACGGACGGTTTCTGCCCTTCTGCAAACCAATTTGGCCAAGGCAGCCTATCGTTCTTGCACGGCTTGGATGCAAGCATGGGGGTTCTTGAAATGCGTTTTGGGGTGATATGTCTTGACTGGAGCTCCTCACAACTCTTTCCGATCCGAACACCAATGAGGCAGCTCTTGCGCTGCACTGGCTCGAGAATCTTACTCAGAACCCCAGCGCGATTGTCCCAAACGGTCCGGCGGCGGTGAACCTGTCAACAACTCGGCTGAGGGATTGATTTACGGATCAGAGGGGGGTCAAGTGAGGATTCGAGGATCAACCAGGGGGTCCCAGAGCCAACAGCTATGGAGCGCTGACGCTCAAGCCCACTTTGGTCTTTGAGCTGCGGCCAAGCCCCAGACTTTCCTGGAAACCAGCCTCAGCGTTGCATGGGCGAAAAGAGCTCGTGGGTTTACAGCCAATCACGGTCCCTTGTCGGGACCCTCCCCGCGCGAAACGCATGCATGCGCAGCTGGCGCTGGCTGGCTCTCGCTTGGGGAGTGGGTGCTCGTTGTCCTGAGGGACATCTGCATGTGCCGCAGGCCTGTGGAGTGCATTTGCCGGTTCCATCTATTCAATAATTCTCAAAATGTGTCCTCCCGGTCCTTTCCCAGGCCACTTAGGACCAGGATCTCTAGAGTCAGGCGCAAAATGATGCCAAGTGCCAGGGAGCTCACGCCGCTTTGGAGCTTTTGTGGCTTGCCCTCGATCAGACATGACACGCGCAGGTGGTGCTGAGCAATGCGACGATCCTGGCCTTTGGGGACTCTTTGACGGCAGCGGGCTACGGCAGCGTCCCTTACGGCGTCTACTTGGCGGAGATGCTCGGCGCAAAGGCGGGCCACGGGCGTCGCGCATAGCATGGGCTGCGGCAGCGCATCCAACTTGTGGGTAAGAACGGGGGGAGGGGGGGGGAGAAAATGGCGGGCGGGCAAGTTCTGTTTGCCCTTTAAAGCCACTCTAAAGATGTAGCCTCGGCAAAATGAGACACCCATATGTGAGTTTCTCAACACAAGGGGCTCATGCCAAAAGGGGAGCGACATACTGTGGGACAAAGTCCAGTCCAGGCACCAGTTGGGACGGATGAAGCCATGGTGATCAGAGGTTCCGAGCCTGGATGCTCAACCCATTTAGGCCAAAAGCATTTTTCTCGGGGGGCAAACCTAGTTTGGAGAGGGTATGACTCGGTATGACCACGGTTGCAACCTATGCTAAGAGGGTTTGAAGAGAGACACGGGATCAACTGACAGCTCGTCCCCAACTAACAGCCCACGGGATCCCTTGCTAGGGGCTCTTTGGACATCATGTCCACCACTTTTGGGGTAAGATTTCATGGCCACCCGGGAGGCCCGGGAGGTTGGAGAGAAAAGGCCCCGTGTCCTTGTGTTTTTTTTGCCTCATGTCATGCTTCAGCCATTGGACGGAATCCTCTGCCAGTTGGTGGCTTACCCCCGCTCTATGAATTTACATGCATGTGACAATTTGGCTGCAATGTGCCAGTGTGTTTGTATTGCATTCGCATGAGCAAACCCACATGTAAATTCACCTGTGCAGGTTCATGCGTTTCCCTAAGTTGTCTGCATGTGGAAACAGCATTGCAGTTTATTCAGTATGTAAGCCTCAGCAGATGCAGCCAGGACATGTTCGGGAGAGTTGTGAAGGCCCGCTGATGGTGGCATCTCGTTAAACAAAGCACAGCACCAACACAAAGGCCCAATGAGGCCCTACCGGCATGGCAGCTTCTATGAGGATTGGGCACCGTAAGTTCTGACGGGGGCAGATCCCTCCAGACCAGGTGGAGATTGCTGGCGTTTGGGCAGAAGCGACCCCGCCGCCCGGCCAGAACGGTTTCGGTCGGGTGTGTTGGGACCGACCCCTGCGCCTCCCAAATCAGCTTTTCCGATTGCCACCCAACACTGGCTTTGTTGAAAGAGGACATGTTCGTCAGGAAAGGACCAGGATGGAAGCGACAAACGCCTGCAAGGTGATTTTCCCTTGAGCAAGTCATGAATGTGTGCGGACTTTGCCGAACCAGGTAGTGAAGCCTTGCCATCACATGGAGCATCACTGACTTGAGACACACTGGGTCGTTGGTGGCTACCTTGTGGCGCACGGGTTCTGGATTCGGAACATCGGGAGCTTCCCATTTTGGCGACCGGGTTCGGCCCGACCGCGTGAGAATTCAGGGCGATGCTGCAGCGGTTGCTGCGCTGCGGATCGGCGGAGGTGGTGCTGGTTTTGGGGGGCACCAACGACGTGCTGGGCTTGGGGCACACCGAAGACTGGAAGCAGGCGGGAGGGAAGCCTAGGAGCGATAGGGAAGGCTCTGGATGGTTCTGCCTTTTTCGAATTTGTCCACTGAAGATAAAACGAGCTCACCGGTCCCTTGCATGTTTTGGCATGAAAACACATGCAGATGGAGTTGCCAGCCCCCAACCGGAAAAATTGGAGCCTTAAAAGGCTGGTCAAATGCTGGACGCTTTTGGCGCACTTTGCTTCACAAGCCGCCAGCCTTGGGCCGAGGCGTCGTTGGCTGCGACCTTGGCCAATCTCAGGGCAACTTGGCCAGAATCTGCGGCGTGTGAACGTGGACAGGCGAGCTTGGCTTGGAAGGGTGATAGTTTGGGCTGCAAACACGGGTTTCTCCGAAGATTTCCTTTGGGACTGGGAAGCTGCTTTGAACCGTCATTTTGAGGATGTCACTTTGCACACAATAGGCTGGCCTTCTTGAGTAGAGTTGAGAATGGCTTGAGCAGCGCCCAAAACCGATTTCCATTGGCCATTTTAGTAGGTTACAGTCAGGCCTTAATGAACCTTTCCCAAAATGGAGCCCCCCCCGCGTTCGCATATGCTCTGAGAGCAGGCTCGCAGAGAAAGAAATGGAGAGAGCGAGAGAGAGAGAGAGAGAGAGAGAGAGAGAGAGAGAGAGCGAGAGAGGGAGAGACTTTACGCACAATGTGTAGGGTTTGTCTCAAAAGAAGAGGGCCTCAATTTGTTTCGCAGTTTTCCTTCTTGGTTTCCCAACACCACAGACTCCAACAAGGCTGCCCTTCACAAGACATGCCGATGTGAGCCCAACAGTCCGCCGATTTGGGGCGCAGCCGGGCGATGCAGCCGGGAGGCGATGCACGAGCTGGCCGCCGCCCGGGGCGCTCTGGTGGGGGTGCTGGCCCTGCCGGTCTTCCAAAACGCGGCGCCTCGGACGCCTCGGACGCCTCGGACGCCTCGGGCTCTCGATTTTCGTGGCGGGCGGGTGGGTTGGTTTGGTTGGGGGTCCCTGTGCTCCTGGGCTTTTTGCGCTTTTGGGCTTGGATCATTAGAGCGGTGAAGGGAGTTTGGGCCATTTTCGGATCGGTCAGGAAAGTGAGCAAACGGGGAAAAGCATGTACAAAATACCTCCGCTCGGGTGGCTTGGGCAGCACTCCTGGTGGTTTTCCTTGAAAGGAGTTAGGGGTTGCAATTGCACCCTGGGAGTTGCCTTCCACACGGAGGCAACACTCAGCGCCCAAAACGGCTTGCGACGACACAATTTGGCGGGTGCCTGGTTTCCTAAAGGTTCTCGGAAGGTTTATAATGGGTGGCCCAGAATTTTTGCGGAATCGCCCAACATGGCTTTGGTTTTTTCCTTTTGGTTTTGGCTTTGTAACCACAAGAGAGGGGACCCTCAACAAAACCGCAACCAAAAAAGCCTTTCAAGCGTCCATGGGTTTTTCTTTTGGGCACTGCTGGAATGCAGGTGAGGTGAGCCTAGGTGTCTGGACAGCCAGTTCCCTTGGCAGCAATTGGCCTCACTGGAGCTTTTGTGCCGTGATGATGATGATGATGATGATGATGATGATGATGATGATGATGATGATGATGATGATGATGATGATGATGATGATGATGATGATGATGATGAGCTTGGTTTCCCCAGTCCGAGCTTCGGATTTCAAAGGAATCCGCCTCCGCAATTGGCACCGGATCCTTTGGTGGGTTTGCACCTTTTGCCTTCCGTGGCTGGAGGTCCGAGACGGCGCAAGTCAAGTGTGAGGTGCTCTCTTCCCCTTTCGGCTTGGGACATTTCTGAAAAAGTGTCAATCTCAAGGGTTCCCCTTCCCTGACGCTTGCTGGCTGCAAGGCTGGACAGGGCGCAAGCCAAAAAAAAAGAAGGTCCCTTTCTTTCCCCCTGGTTGCAACTGTTGCCGCCTAGTTGCAACTTGACACAGGTGAGTTTGGGTTGCACAGGTGGGCTGCTGTGCGCTGCGGGAGATGTTGAATGCAAAGCTTGCAGCGATGCAGGCGAGCTACAGCCGCGCGGTCGCAGTGACCGGATGGGTGCGATTCTTGGTGGTTCCCAATCATCCCCCCAATGAGGTTTCATCCCCTGAGGTGTTTTTAGCTTGTTAGGGTTTAATCTGCGGGGGGGCTCCATTAAGCCCACAACAAGTTACACTTTTAGCAGGAGATTTACGCTTTTCCGCCCATTGCTCACGGGCCCTTTTAGAGGACACGCCCCTCGGGACCCCGGTCAGGCGATGCTGGCCAGAGAGATTTGGAAGGCTAGAGCCAGGTGGCAATCCACGAATCCACTTCCATGATTGTTGGAAAGAGGGGGAGGGTGTAGGGAGCGAAGTGGAGCGAGAAAACCCCAGAATTCGGGGGGGAGCGTGAGCCATGTTTCGCAGACCAAGCCTGGTTCCTTCAGTTCCAAAGAAGTGCGCCGTCGAGCCCGGGAAGCTCCGAAAACGGGTGCAGCTTGACGCCTGATTCTCCCAGGCTTCAGGTCCTTCTTCGTGAACCTGAGCCAAGTGCCGGCCTCGCGGCTCGCTTGGCACGTTCCCGAGTCCATGGCCCGAGTCGGCCGGGGAGAGGGGAAGGATTTCTTGGGCTTTACGGGTTTGGCTGGACCTTTTTGTTTTGTTTTTGTTCTTGGGTTTATCTGCTCAGAATGGAAGGGGGCCCCACGAAGGAACAATATGCGGAATGAATGGATGTGCCGCAAGAGAACTCATGGGCCGAGTTTTGAACGAGCCTCTTTTTTTTGCGAGAAAACACGAGTGGTGTGCCAAAGCTGAAGAAGGCTGCTGAAGGCTGCAAATGGCCAATGCAAGTGCTCTAACATTCTCCCAGGGTATGATTGATTTTGTCTTAAAAGCCTCCTAGTTCACACCAGGGTGAGACACTGGATGGCACTTTCCCGTCCGGAACCGAAGAAGATACAACCTAGATGGGTTGTAACCAACAGCAACAACTCACCTCAGGCGTTCGAGTCGAATGCTGGAGAAGCACCAGTGCCCGGACTCCGGGAGGAGCCAGGGCCCGAAACCACAAACAACTTGTGAAACCTTTGTGGCCAAGGCAGAATCTTTTTTTGGGGGGGGGCAAAGTATGCCAGAAAGTGCCACTAACAGGCGCGACCTGGACACGAGGTGGGGCGCGGGTTTGTGATGCTGGTTCTCAGCAGGGAATGAGAAACGGGAACGACAAAGCCGGTTCATTCCCAACACGCGGAAAGAAAAGGGTCGAGTCATTCCCTAGCTATCGCAGCAAGTGTTCCGTGCAGCGGAATGACCCCTATAACCCATCCTTCGGGAATCCACCAAACCGGCTCATTCTCCCAACCACCCCTTGCTCCTTGCCACCCCCCGTCGCCACTTCTCGCGGCGACCTCGCAGCGAGGCACCTCTACGATGGGCTGCACTTCGGCTCGGAGGGCTACTTCCACTTCGCCCGGCTGCTGGCGGAAGCGCTCCGCGGCTCTGACGCTCTGGCGCTCTGACTGCGCGCCATTGGGCCACTGGGCCTCGACGTCGAGGGGGGGATGTGGGGCCAAAGCAAAGGAAGCCCTCAGGGCTTTGTGGCCAGGCGCAACCCCCAAGAAGGTGGTTTCCTTTTTTGTTTCTCTTTTTTTGTTTTTCTTGTTTAATATCCATCCCAAAAAGGGCACCAACTCCGAAAATGACACCATTTGTGCTGTTTGAGCTCTATTCACTTGTTTGGAAAAAAAGCAGCCTCTGGCCAAGTTTATCAATCCGCCGTTTCCCTGTACAACCGCCAAAAAGAGGGTCCCCTCAAAGAAAAGACATATGGTTTTTGGATGTTATCGCACGGTGAGCGTGTAAGCAGCCCAGGTAAGGATTTCCAGCGGGCTCTTCCGTCGCTGCCGCTGCGTGCCACAAGTGCCTTTCAGAAGCATTAGGGGAACTCGAACTCTACGCCAGGGTGAAAGCAGATGTCACAACTCCCTTTATGGGTGTGTCTTTTCTTAGGGGCCTACAAAATGCTGGTTTTGCTTTGGGTTTGTGATCAAAGCCCAACCAGAAGAGTGAGGACAAAACCTAAACAGGGAGGTTATACCATTTACTCTCGCTTAACTGTAAGTGTAATTTTAGGTCAGTTTGGCTGAAGATGGATGAGTTCAACTGGTTTTGCCTGTGCCACTTGTCCAGGAACTACCCAAACCCGAGGCTTGTCGGTATATCTAGGGCCTGGCCTTTTCAGCAAACCGAATGGCGTCGGCCAGCAGAAAGGAAGGACGCCCTGATTCTTATCATTCGGCCGCAATGATGAGAGGAAAACCGGGAGAAGGGAAATGCGTCCAATGGGAACTGTGAGTCAAAAGTTTGAAGGCCCATTGGGGAACACCTGAAAACCTCACGGGCAAATGAGGGCGAGTAGGACCCGCTTGCGCTTAAGCGGGCGGCTGAGTTACTCCTTGGGCTTGGTTTTGTACCGTGCGGCGTCCGAAAAGCCAGCGCTGTTGAAAGTCCCCCTTCGAGATAGACCCATGGATTGCAAAGCCCCATGAGCCAACCCCCGCAAAGGAAACCTATATACCCGGGATGCGGTTTCTTTCTCTTCGAGCCATGGCCATGACAAGACTTCGCGCCTCCAGCAATTATGGAAGCTGACAGGAAGCTGTTGGACGACTGCATTCCTTTTGGGGAAGCCCCCTATCCGCTTCCACGATTGTTGGAAAGAGTGAAAGTGGGGGTTTTGTTTTTGGTTGGTTTTCCCTCGCCACAAGAAAAGGCTACCCTAAACAAAAAGACGAGCCGCCCATATGGATGTGTCAAAATAGAGGGTCTGGCATGTGTCAGAGGGATCAAACTCCGACTTTGGCCCCACATGTTTTCGAAGATGTCCGCATTTGCCATGATCAAAGCAGCCTACTTGAATTGGTAAGTATGGTCATGGACCTGGGTAAGGAAGTCTTGGCCATATCCACAACGAGTTTTTGACCATGACGCATATCCACGGGGTAAAGAGGAAAACTCCCAGTCCAAAGAGAAAGCTTCACCATCCCGAAGGCACCAGGCACGGTGCCGGCCCTCACATTGCAAGGGGGTAGCAGATCTCAGGTGAAGATCTTGAGGCTCCTATCGCCTTCAAAGCCTACTTTGTTGCTGACAGCCGTGTCTCTTGAGGCTCGGTACCCTTTTTGGAACAGCAAAAGGAAGCCAAAAGGAAACCACCAACAATTTGTATTTCCCATCCGCAACACTCCAGCAATCCCAATGCAAGAGCTATCTATCCTTGGTTCATCCACAGCAATCTTGGCTCCAGCCATCCGGACTGCGTCCAAAAAAATCAAAACCCGCTCGACAAACGCCCGCCATGGCTCGTGCTCTTTGCGTGGGCCTCATGTTTGGCGCCGCCGGCGCTGCCGTGCACCCGGAGCGCGCGGCCATGATCGAGGAGATCCAGCGGACGTCGAAGCTTTGGTGCGGTTGGCTTGGATGTTAGGACGAATAGCTTTTTGCGAACGAATGGATTTTCCCCATGAAAAGTTAAAGCACTACAAGTTAAACTTCAACCAAGTTTCCCATTAAACCACAAATTAAACCACTAAACTACTAAAACCTTAAAACCACAACCTTTTTTCCATTAGACCACTAAAAAGGTAAAAACTTTTAGCCGGGCAGCAGAGAGCCACCGAGCAGTCGAGGAACGTCCTGTGGACCCCGGGGGTCGTGGAGCGCTTCGCGGCGGAGAAGCCGGGCGTCTCGAAGATCTACGGCGTCAAGGGCAACGCCACGTGGGCTGCAAGCGGCGGAACGGAGTGCACGTCAGCTGTTGTTGGTCGCCCCCCCTGTTTTTCCCCAGGGGTTGTTAGATTTTATGTTGGAATCCGCGTTTGCGATGCTTCTACACCACGCCCCCACCCAGTATCCCGCCAGAGCAGCTCGCCAGTGGATCCCGCCGAGTATGCCGCCAGAGCTGCTCGCCAGTGGATCCCGCCGAGTATGCCGCCAGTCCCGCCCAGTATCCCGCCAGAGCTGCTCGCCAGTGGATCCCGCCCAGTATCCCGCCAGAGCTGCTCGCGAGTGGGTCTCGCCGAGTATCCCGCCAGAGCGGCTCGCCAGTGGATCCCGCCCAGTAGCCCGCCAGAGCGGCTTGCCAGTGGATCCCACCGAGTATCCCACCAAAGCAGCCCGCCAGTGGATCCCGCCGAGTATCCCGCCAGAGTAGCTGGATTCCGCCAGTATGCCGCCAGAGCAGCTCGCCAGTGGATCCCGCCGAGCATCCCGCTGAGCATCCCGCTGAGTATCTCCCAGAGTAGCTCGCCAGTGGATCGCGCCAAGTATCCCGCTGCGTCTCCCTTGCCGGTGGATCTTGCCAAGTATCCGGCCAGTATCGAGCCAGAGCGGCTCGCCAGTCTGGTTTTGCTTAATGCGCACAGTTGGGTTTACATTTCATGTTGCTGCCTTCGTGTTTTGAATGTGCCCTGAGGCTCGGAAAGGGTGATGCTTTTGTGTTGCTTTGGGCTGTGAATAAGCAACTTCGCTTAATCCCCCGTCGTTTTTTTTTGGAAAGGGCTTGGCTTTTGTTAACAGAACCGATGTTTGAGTTTGACACACAGACAGGTGAATAAGGCTCTCAATGCAAAGCTTGTTGAGCAGTCAAAGGCCCCAAGCCGCTCGAAAACCATGCTTGAATTCACACAACCGTGCTCACGGTCGTAAGCTCGTGAGTGTGGAGGGTGGGGATTGCTCGAAGCGAAGTATTTTTATTTTTATTTTCTATTTTGTTTCACATGACTTATATATATATATATATATGTATATTAATATTTAAATAAGGGTAATCCGGGTAAGTGAAGGTTAGTAAGGGACGATCCCAGCCAGAAATAGCTGCGGACATCCCCCTTCTTAATTCTTTACATGGTTCGGGGTCGACCATTCTTGTATCGGGCTTTGATTGTGACTCACCTGTTGGTGGTCCCCCTCTTTTTTTAAACAGCCTTTGGCGAACAAGTTGTTCCCCCGCTTCGACGACAAGAGAACCTTGTTGGGATGCTATAGCCGTTTTCCTTTTGGGCTTGGTGGAGATGCGAAAAGCACGTTGTAGAATCAGTTCTTCACTCGCTAGTTGTTCATTGACACCCTTCAAATTCCTTTTTGATTGGTGGCGTTTATTCACACATGCCCCGCTGAAACACGGCTTTTTTTTGGGTCACTGGCTGCGGCGGTACCATTGAAAATACGGGGGGTGAATATGGCATTGAACTTTTAAAGGGGTCCATCTCCAAAGTGGTTGGTTGACATGAATCCCTGCCGAATTTTTGTCCACCAAAAAAGGGTTCCGTCAAAAAAGAAGTCACGCCCATAAAGACTAGCGTGGTTGACCATTCAGGAGTAGCTTAACAATTCACACCCACACCACCATTCAGGAGTACCCGTCTAATTTGTAGTGTGTTTTTGTTTTCCTGGGGCCATGTTTTCCTTTTGTTTTTTGTGTGTGTTTTTGTATTTGTTTTTCCTGGGTAAGCGGTGGGGCCATGGTTTCAACGGTAAGCCGTTGCTCGGCCCAGTGCATGGCCTCAGGTGAGCGAGGCCATCCAGAAGGCCATCGCGCGCGGGGAGATCGAGCGCCTGTTGCTGGTGGATGATGGCGAGGAGCGGTGAAGCCTCGGGGTACTTTTGGTCGGGGGAGTTTGGCAGGGCTCCTTAACAGAATTCATTTTGCAACCATTTGAAACATGTTGCTTTTTCAACACCAAAGTAAAGGAACACCAGCATTTACAAGGTAATGTTCAGGTGTATAATGTAAGGATCCCTGTTTTGCTAGAAACAGATGAGCCACGTGCTCAAAACCCGGGTAGATGAAGGTTTGTACGGGGCAGTCCCAGGCAGAAATAGCTGCGATATCCGCCTTCTTAATTCTTGAAGCATGGTTCTGGGTAGACCATTTTGATACCGGGTTGTGATTGTGGCTCAGATGGGTTCCAATGGTTTAGAGTGGGCAAAAGAAGAGTTTGGAGAGAAGTGGATGGGATTGGATGGGGCCATGTACCAGGGCCGGCTATTTTGCAAAGGGTCACCTATGCTCAGAGGGGCTGGGGGGTCTTTGAGACGGTGGAACAATTCTCCTTCCCCCCCCCCCCCCCCATTTTGAGAATTTGTTCCCCAATGCATCCCCCCCCCCCCCAAAAAAAAAAGGATGGCCCCCCCCCCCTCCCCCCAGAAGAGCTGAATGAGTTTGCTCAATTCTCAGGGTGGCCCTTTTCAGGAAAAACAATAAGGACACCACAGATGTTGGGCTCCCCCTACAAGACACACCCACAGTTTTTGCCGGGTGGTTTTTGCATTTTGTCAGGGACTGTTTTTGACGTGAAGCTAATAGGCCCACTCAAGGCAAAACCGGGGAGATGTTCGAATTCTGTGGGGTTTGTTCAACCTTTCCATGGAAGATGTAGCCACACAAGGGAGGCCGGTTTGCAGCCGACCCCATGTCCATCAAGCCATCAAGGGCAACTCTCAAATCTAGATGTGGCCCAATGTTGCATTGAACGCTGTTTGAGGTTGCTGCACCCACCTTTTGTGGGGGGGTTCCATGTCCTATTTTGGCACAAACCCAGTATGCTTCGGCGGCTCAAGTCCTGCTTGAGCAGCTGGCAAGCCCGTGATTCAGGAAGACACAACGACACGTATCGTATTATAGATCAATATGTATATATATATATATATTCTTAGCCCACACGTTTCCCCATACATGTCCTTCCTCTTGGCAAACTGGATGTGCCAGAGAACTTCGACTGGGCATTTTCTTAGGAGGTGCCAGAGAACTTCGACTCGGCGGAGCAGTGGCCGGAGTGCGCCAAGATGATCAACGACATCCGGGATCAGTCCGGGTTCCAGTTTTGAATCGGGAGCGACCTAACATACGGGTGTGCTGTTTTCAAGGATGGACCCCCAAATGGTGGAGTTGCCTTTTGGTTTTTCTTTGAAACCACAAGACAGGTACCCTCAAGTAAAGACACACCTGTATGGGCCGGTCTTTGTCTTAAGGGAACTCCCCCCCAAAAAAATAAAAGGAACACCAAGGCAAACAAGCAGAATTGCGTGAAAGGAAGCACACTTTCTTTTTTGACACATACCCATAGTTTCAGACAGGTTAGGCTGCAGGGATTGCAAGACCTTCTCTCATATTGGCACGCATATTGGCACTTCGGCCGAATTTGTGAAGCAGACTCCGACAAAAAGTAGTTTGGACCCAAGAGTAACCCCCTTTTGAGTTGGCCCTCTCTTGTACCCACATAGCGATGTCTTTCTTCGAGCGTGCCCACTTTTGGATGGTTTTAGCAAGGAAACCAAGGAAACCAACCGTTTTGAGAAACACTGCCCTAAGTGTCAGAGAAACGGGTGCTCTTTTCTTTTCGTTTTTTTGATAAGGGGGCCCAAAGGGAGACCCAAGCATTTCTTGTCCCCCATTTAATCTTACACTCAAGCCCCAGAAATGGCACGGCAAAACAGAAAGGCATCGGACCGAGCTTGACATTGGGCAGTTTTCCTTAACAAAAACCAGCCCCTTTCATGGGCACACCCCAAAAAAAGCGAGAACGAGCACTACGGGTGGTTCAGTTGGGCGGTTTTTTTTCCAGGTCCAATTGCGGGTGCTGCTGGGCGTTTGCCGGAGCAGAGGCGGCCTCGGACCGCATGTGCATTGCCTCCAAGGGGAAGACCATGGTGCCCATCTCCGCGCAGGAGACACGCGACGCGAGAAGCGAGACGCGAGACGTGAGACTTTCATTCGGGGTGCTCATGTTTGGGTCTGTCTTTGTTTGGAGTTGGTACCTCTTCTTTTGTGGCTTTTTCAGAGACGCCAGGAGAAAAAACACGATTTTGAGGGTCAAGGCAGTTTCTTTCTGGGACCAGCCCTAGGTGTGTTTAAGTCCTCGGACGGTTTCAATCAAGAAGGACCATAGGGGGATGTACCCAAACCAAAAAACAAGACGAGCACCCACATGCTTAGCACGGTTTGGACGTCCATGTTCGCGGCGGCGATCTTTTCCGGCGAAGGACGTGTGCTTCAACGCAAACCCCGACGGCTGCGACGGGGGCATGATCGACGCTCGACAGTTTGAAGGCCACAAACAAGCAAGCAAAGCAAACAAAGCTACCCACCCACCCACCCACCCACCCACCCAGCCAGCCAGCCAGCCAGCCAGCCAGCCAGCCAGCCAGCCAGCCAGCCAGCCAGCCAGCCAGCCAGCCAAGCCAGCCAAGCCAACCAAGCCAGCCAGCCGCCAACCACCCAGACAAATAAACAAACAAACGAAGGAACGAACAAACAAACAAGCAAACAAACTAACAAACCACGACGCTGAAAAAGATCCCTACTCTTCCAGTGGCTTACCCTCGTCTACCTAGTCCATCCCTAGCATGTCGACCCTACTCGCAAGCAGAAGCGGACCGCTTTGCGCAGGGTGATTGACTCCGAGGATTGTTCGAAAGGGTCCCATTTTTCAAGAACGGGACATATCGGGCACACCCTTGTCCGAATTTGACTCGGATGCTTTCTCTTACAAAACCGACTCTGCCACACGCTTTGCTTCATGCAAAAAACAGCATCCTTAGCAACCCGGGTTGGCTTGTTCTTCCAAAGGGGAGCTTCAAACAGCACTTCCTCTTCCCTAGCCCTTCAAGTGCTCCACCAACTCACACCTCAAGCTGAAAGCTATGTTCAAAACCCGGGACCCCCAAAAAAAGTTTGTCTGGACTCTTTTGTGGCCTCAAAATGGAACTTTTCCAGCACGGCTTGGCAAAACTAGGGTGCACCAAGCAATCGCAGCCCTTCAATCAGATGGATCATATGACAGCTCATTTCATAAAACACATCATCCAACAAACAAAAACACAAAACGCTGCCCCGGCCTGTTTTCCCCATTTTGGATGCTGAGGATACCCCCTGGAGCTACATCAAGCGTTCCGGGGCCGTGAGCGGTGGCCAGTACAAGGGCACTGGACCCTTCGGCCAGGGCCTCTGCAGCGACTTCTCGCTGCCCCACTGCCACCACCACGGGCCGCAGGGAAAGGACCCAGACCGGGCGTGGAGGCGTCGAGAATTTCGGAGGTTTTCGAAGCTTGAGGCTTTGGGGGGCGGAATTTGCGATTTTGGAGCCAGCCGAGCGTTTCAACCTCCTAGGATCTCCTAGGATAACCCATGTGTTCTCTCCAACTTTTGTGGAGTGTGGAAAACTCGGAATTTGGAGACGCATGGGTCGCTTTCAACTTGTGGCGGCCCTTTTAAACCAAGTCACGATGGGGCGACAAACGCGCAAAATGTCAGGTTTCAGTTTTAAGCCAGCCACAAAAACACCCGCTCAACAAATACACCCCTTCAGGTGAGTCTGGGAATTTACACCGATGGGTTCGACTTGGGATGGACTTGCAATTTGGTTCCAGTCAGAGTGCCATCTATTGCTTTCAAGCACTTTTGGTTTGGGGAGGGCGAGAATGGGGAAGACTCCTCCCCCAGTGCCAGGGCGGATGTTTTTTGTGTGCCCTTTTTTTTTATTGCACAATGTCAAAAAGCTGGGCTTGCTTTACGTTTGTTCATTTTGGAGCCAAACATCAGGTGACGCGCAATTGGAGGTTTGGATTGGAGGTTTTGAATTTGCACCCAGGTTCTTGACGAGGGTAAATGGGAAACCACCAAACCTCCGCACCGAACCTGTGCGGAAGCTGCCGGGGTTGAGCGTGTGCATTGGGGTCGTCTCTTTTGCGTACGAACATGATGTTCCAATGGTGTTGACCCAATTAGACCGAGTGGATCCCAGTTACTACTACAGTAGGTAGCCATGTCTTTTGCCAACCTTTTTTGGGTTGGGAGGGGTCCCCTACTAAAATAGACAAAACAAAGTTGGCACCCTTATTCTAACCTCTCTACTGGAGGGCCTAGCAATTAGGAGGGGGGGGGTCTTCCTGGTGGAAAGGAAACTTGCCTAAAACGGGACCCCCCCCCCCTTAATAGCAATCTCTTCATCAGGGGTTGACCTTAGAGTTCCCTGTTAAAAGGCCGTGACCCATGGTTTTTTCTCTTGGTTTTTCCCAATTGGGAAGCCGAAGACACGCGAAGACGAAGACACGAGCAGGACCCCTACCCCGCGGAGGGCAAGCCGGGCTGCCCCTCCGAGAGCTCCCCGCCGGGGCCCACCAAGTGCGACGGGAGCGCCAAGGCGCCCCACGACGACTTCCAGAAGGACAAGCGGCTCGACGCCCGTTTTGGGCGCGGCGCGGTGAGAACCGCCGCGCCGTTTTTTTTTTTTTTTGGGGACGTGTGGCGGGTGTTGTTTTTTTTGGATGTTGGTAGCCTTTTTTTTTTTTTGGGGGGGGGGGGGACGACACAGATATTGGGTCTGGGTGAATTATAACGACCCTGCCTGACCGAATTCACCCCAAATGTGCGGTTTATGTGGGGAATAGTCCCCCAACCACCGCAAGTTTCAGCTTGGTGAAATATACTTGGTATAGTACAATTCACCCAGATTGGGTGCCGCCGTTTTTTGGGTGTGGCTCGTGCTTTTTTTTTGGGGGGGGGGAGTTGGTAGCCCCTTTTTTTCGGGAAACGAAAAGGAAGCACGAACTTTTGGGGTCCCCTCAAAATATATACTACACTGACATCTTGTTTGTTGACGTCTTTGGTTTTGTTTTGGGTTTGTCTTAGAATCGACTCCCGAAAACGGTTGAAAAAGGAGTGCTTCAGATATTCAATGCCATCCGGCGCTCAATCAGTGGTTTGGATTAGCTTGGGAATTTGAACTCCTAATAGAGGATAAGCATCGGAAACCCACATCACAGCACAGAAGCTGAGATTTGACACTCACAGAAAGGAACCAGAATAGGGTATCGGGGTCGTTTTGGTGAGCAAACCGCCCAGCCGCCTCAGATCTTCTCATCTTTTGAAAGCCCGCCAGGGTTCAGTTTTGGTCGCCCGGAGGGGGATCTTAAATGTTTGGGGAAAGGGAGTTTGCATCAATTATATACCTGAGATTACATGTTGGGGAGATGGTGCGTTGGTTTCAGGTTGCTTTCTGTGAATGGCCAAAGGAAAGCCCTTTGGCTCGGTTTGGTTCACGAAGTGGGGGCACTACACCCCAATGACTGTGCGAGATTCATGAACCTGGTGTAAACAAAAGCAGAGCTATTTGTGATTTTGGAAAGACCGCACCATGTTTCTCTCACTGGCGAGTCACAGGTCACTTATTGACATGTTTTGTTCTGCGTTCTGCTTGTTAAACAAAACGCAGAGATGGGCGTGTCTTTGTTTAGGGAACCCTCTCAAAATGGCTGCTTTCCTTTCGGGTTTTTCCCTTAAAGCCAACCAAAAGAGGGGTACCAACTCCAAAAGAAGACCCAAAATGGTTTCAATGGCTGCTTTCCTTTCGGGTTTTTCCCTTAAAGCCAACCAAAAGAGGGGTACCAACTCCAAAAGAAGACCCAAAATGGTTTCAATGGCTGCTTTCCTTTCGGGTTTTTCCCTTAAAGCCAACCAAAAGAGGGGTACCAACTCCAAAAGAAGACCCAAAATGGTTTCAATGGCTGCTTTCCTTTCGGGTTTTTCCCTTAAAGCCAACCAAAAGAGGGGTACCAACTCCAAAAGAAGACCCAAAATGGTTTCAATGGCTGCTTTCCTTTCGGGTTTTTCCCTTAAAGCCAACCAAAAGAGGGGTACCAACTCCAAAAGAAGACCCAACATGGTTTCAATGGCTGCTTTCCTCTCGGGTTTTTCCCTTAGAGCCAACCAAAAGAGGGGTACCAACTCCAAAAGAAGACCCAAAATGGTTTCAATGGCTGCTTTCCTTTCGGGTTTTTCCCTTAGAGCCAACCAAAAGAGGGGTACCAACTCCAAAAGAAGACCCAAAATGGTTTCAATGGCTGCTTTCCTTTCGGGTTTTTCCCTTAAAGCCAACCAAAGGAGGGGTACCAACGCCAAAAGAAGACCCAAAATGGTGTCAATGGCTGCTTTCCTTTCGGGTTTTTCCCTTAAAGCCAACCAAAAGAGGGGTTTAAAAGAAGACCCAAAATGGTTTCAATGCTGCTTTCCTTTCGGGTTTTTCCCTTAAAGCCAGCCAAAAGAGGGGTACCAACTCCAAAAGAAGACACAAAATGGTTTCAATGGCTGCTTTCCTTTCGGGTTTTTCCCTTAAAGCCAACCAAAAGAGGGGTACCAACTCCAAAAGAAGACCCAAAACTGGTTTCAATGGCTGCTTTCCTTTCGGGTTTTTCCCTTAAAGCCAACCAAAAGAGGGGTACCAACTCCAAAAGAAGACCCAAAATGGTTTCAATGGCTGCTTTCCTTTCGGGTTTTTCCCTTAAAGCCAACCAAAAGAGGGGGTGCCAAAAGAAGACCCAATGTTTCAATGGACTGCTTTCCTTTCGGGCTTTTCCCCTAAAGCCAACCCAGGACTACCAACTCAAAAGAAGACCCAAAATGGTTTCAATGGCTGCTTTCCTTTCGGGTTTTCCCTTAAAGCCAACCAAAAGAGGGGGTACCAACTCCAAAAGAAGACCCAAAATGGTTTCAATGGCTGCTTTCCTTTCGGGTTTTTCCCTTAAAGCCAACCAAAAGAGGGGTACCAACTCCAAAAGAAGACCCAAAATGGTTTCAATGGCTGCTTTCCTTTCGGGCTTTTCCCTTAAAGCCAACCAAAAGAGGTGTACCAACTCCAAAAGAAGACCCAAAATGGTTACAATGGCTGCTTTCCTTTCGGGTTTTTCCCTTAAAGCCAACCAAAAGAGGGGTACCAACTCCAAAAAGAAGACCCAACATGGTTTCAATGGCTGCTTTCCTTTCGGGTTTTCCCTTAAAGCCAACCAAAAGAGGGGTACCAACTCCAAAAGAAGACCCAACATGGTTTCAATGGCTGCTTTCCTTTCGGGTTTTTCCCTTAAAGCCAGCCAAAAGAGGGGTACCAACTCCAAAAGAAGACCCAAAATTGTTTCAATGGCTGCTTTCCTTTCGGGCTTTTCCCTTAAAGCCAACCAACAGAGGGGTACCAACTCCAAAAGAAGACCCAAAATGGTTTCAATGGCTGCTTTCCTTTCGGGTTTTTCCCTTAAAGCCAACCAAAAGAGGGGTACCAACTCCAAAAGAAGACCCAAAATGGTTTCAATGGCTGCTTTCCTTTCGGGTTTTTCCCTTAAAGCCAACCAAAAGAGGGGTACCAACTCCAAAAGAAGACCCAAACTGGTTTCAATGGCTGCTTTCCTTTCGGGCTTTTCCCTTAAAGCCAACCAAAAGAGGGGTACCAACTCCAAAAGAAGACCCAAAATGGTTTCAATGGCTGCTTTCCTTTCGGGTTTTTCCCTTAAAGCCAACCAAAAGAGGGGTACCAACTCCAAAAAGAAGACCCAACATGGTTTCAATGGCTGCTTTCCTTTCGGGTTTTCCCTTAAAGCCAACCAAAAGAGGGGTACCAACTCCAAAAGAAGACCCAACATGGTTTCAATGGCTGCTTTCCTTTCGGGTTTTCCCTTAAAGCCACCAAAAGAGGGGTACCAACTCCAAAAGAAGACCCAAAATGGTTTCAATGGCTGCTTTCCTTTCGGGTTTTTCCCTTAAAGCCCAACAGAGGGGTACCAACTCCAAAAGAAGACCCAAAATGGTTTCAATGGCTGCTTTCCTTTCGGGTTTTTCCCTTAAAGCCAACCAAAAGAGGGGTACCAACTCCAAAAGAAGACCCAAAATGGTTTCAATGGCTGCTTTCCTTTCGGGCTTTTCCCTTAAAGCCAACCAAAAGAGGTGTACCAACTCCAAAAGAAGACCCAAAATGGTTACAATGGCTGCTTTCCTTTCGGGTTTTTCCCTTAAAGCCAACCAAAAGAGGGGTACCAACTCCAAAAAGAAGACCCAACATGGTTTCAATGGCTGCTTTCCTTTCGGGTTTTCCCTTAAAGCCAACCAAAAGAGGGGTACCAACTCCAAAAGAAGACCCAACATGGTTTCAATGGCTGCTTTCCTTTCGGGTTTTTCCCTTAAAGCCAGCCAAAAGAGGGGTACCAACTCCAAAAGAAGACCCAAAATTGTTTCAATGGCTGCTTTCCTTTCGGGCTTTTCCCTTAAAGCCAACCAACAGAGGGGTACCAACTCCAAAAGAAGACCCAAAATGGTTTCAATGGCTGCTTTCCTTTCGGGTTTTTCCCTTAAAGCCAACCAAAAGAGGGGTACCAACTCCAAAAGAAGACCCAAAATGGTTTCAATGGCTGCTTTCCTTTCGGGCTTTTCCCTTGGCTCCTTTCCTTTCGGGTACAACCTCCAAAAGAAGACCCAAAATGGTTTCAATGGCTGCTTTCCTTTCGGGTTTTTATCTAACCAAAAGAGGGGTTCCAAAAGAAGACCCAAAATGGTTTCAATGGCTGCTTTCCTTTCGGGCTTTTCCCTTAAAGCCAACCAAAAGAGGGGTACCAACTCCAAAAGAAGACCCAAAATGGTTTCAATGGCTGCTTTCCTTTCGGGTTTTTCCCTTAAAGCCAACCAAAAGAGGGGTACCAACTCCAAAAGAAGACCCAAAATGGTTTCAATGGCTGCTTTCCTTTCGGGTTTTTCCCTTAAAGCCAACCAAAAGAGGGGTACCAACTCCAAAAGAAGACCCAAAATGGTTTCAATGGCTGCTTTCCTTTCGGGCTTTTCCCTTAAAGCCAACCAAAAGAGGGGTACCAACTCCAAAAGAAGACCCAAAATGGTTTCAATGGCTGCTTTCCTTTCGGGTTTTTCCCTTAAAGCCAACCAAAAGAGGGGTACCAACTCCAAAAGAAGACCCAAAATGGTTTCAATGGCTGCTTTCCTTTCGGGCTTTTCCCTTAAAGCCAACCAAAAGAGGGGTACCAACTCCAAAAGAAGACCCAAAATGGTTTCAATGGCTGCTTTCCTTTCGGGCTTTTCCCTTAAAGCCAACCAAAAGAGGGGTACCAACTCCAAAAGAAGACCCAAAATGGTTTCAATGGCTGCTTTCCTTTCGGGTTTTTCCCTTAAAGCCAACCAAAAGAGGGGTACCAACTCCAAAAGAAGACCCAAAATGGTTTCAATGGCTGCTTTCCTCTCGGGTTTTTCCCTTAAAGCCAACCAAAAGAGGGGTACCAACTCCAAAAGAAGACCCAAAACGGTTTCAATGGCTGCTTTCCTCTCGGGTTTTTCCCTTAAAGCCAACCAAAAGAGGGGTACCAACTCCAAAAGAAGACCCAAAATGGTTTCAATGGCTGCTTTCCTCTCGGGCTTTTCCCTTAAAGCCAACCAAAAGAGGGGTACCAACTCCAAAAGAAGACCCAAAATGTGGTTTCAATGGCTGCTTTCCTTTCGGGTTTTTCCCGTTAAAGCCCAGGTACAGCTACAAGGGCACCACCCAGTCGGCCTCCGGGGAGAAGGCCATCCAGAAGATGATCATGATGGGAGGCGGGGTGTGGGGGGGATGGGGGGGGGGGGGATGGGTGGGAGGCATCGCCGTTGAAAGCATCCAGCCAAAGGATTTCGCATTTGGAGAAGAAGCCGCATGGTTAGTTGGGTTTGACCAGGCTTGCTGGTTTGTTGGGTTTGTTGGTCTTAAGTTTGACCAAGCTTCTTGTTCGTGGTAGGTCTTTTCTTTTGAGAAAGAGTGAATCAAAAAGAGAAGTACGGAACTGTGTGAACAAGGTTGCAATACTCAAGCAACGTAGGACAATTATTTCCGTTAATCCCACAAACAGTATTTTCACTTTTTGCAGAGGGTCGTTACAGCAACCAAGATGAACCACGGAACATTTGGGCAGCATCAAAAGGGAGGCATTTTTTTTTTGGGCAAGGTCGTCAAGTTCAGGTAGGTCCTTTTTTGGACCCCTGCGGGAGTGGGAAGTTGGTGTTTCGAAACTGACGCTCTTGCCATGGGGATCAACCATGTTTGTCTGTGATCAGCGGGAATTTCTTTTGAAATGAAGTAGTCATGGGGAATCAGCCATTAAATGGCATCAAATAAATTGAGACAGGGTCATCTTCGACTTGTGCCATGGTCAAGCCCCGTGTACTTGGGGTTGGGGATGGAGCTCAACCATCAAGCCGGATTTTTTCCCGGTCATCAACCATTTTTGTTGGGAGTTGTCCAGCTGTTTCTCTCTTTTGACTTTTTTTTTGGGGGGCTACCCACTTGGTTGTTGTTCCAAGGTAAAATCAACAATTTTCGGGCGCTGTCCAACCTATTTTTTTTTTGGGGGGGTCATCAACAACTCAGGGAGTTATGCAACTTATGTTTTTTTGGGGCTACCCTCTTGGTTGTACCAAAGCAACATCTGAAAGCCTTCATGCAGACGATCATGAAGTTCGAGCCTTCGGAGAGCAAAGTGAGACTGAGGACTTCACGGGAGAAGCACTTGATTGCTATTGGGTAGCGGGTCTTTAGACTTTGACTTGTTGGCTGAAATCTCTTGGGTTTTCTTATTGAATCCACAAACCACGATTCACCTTTTGCAGGGGGGTCGTTGCAGCAACCACGATAAACCATGTGCTCAGAAACGAACCATTCATGATTGTGAGCCAGGGTATGGTGAAATTTGAGGCAGAAACAAGAAGTTTCCTGGGGGTTGGAGGCACCCTCCCACCAATGAACAGCCGGAACCTGACGCATGGGAAATGGCCCCTGAAAAAGGAAAGTGGTCCAAGCCAGCACCCGAACGTCAGGTTCCATGTGATTTGGTGGGGGGGTATGGAGGTCACAAATCTGATCAGATAGGGAGTTCAAGCATCCAAGTTTCTAAAACCCCATCCCTGGGCCCAAGTCCAACCCCCCACCAGCGACAGTCCAGGAAGTGGACTCGCGGGCTGTGCAAAGCGGGATCCAAGCTCCAAAAACGCCTTGGGTCCACGCCAGCTTGCACACCAAAGGGTCAGGGAAGCCAAATTGCACACACCCGCCCAGTTTGGGGCGCTCCCCAGAAAACGGAACGGAGACTTGCCTTGAACACAGGTAGGCCGTTGTTGATAAGTCTGTTTGGTTCGAGGGCCCGTGGAGACCGCCTTCACGGTGTACTCGGACTTTGAGCTGTATACCAGCGGGATCTACCACCACGTCTCTGGGAGCATGGCTGGGGGCCACGCAGTGCGCATGGTGGGCTGGGGTGTGGACAAGGAGAGCTGGGTAAGCGTGGATCAAAATGCAGGAAAGTTTGCATCCTTGTTTATGTTTGGTCCTTCATGCCGTTGAAGAGGAAGGAAGAATCCTTTGGTATCCTTTAAACCTCCCATTGGCATGGAATCGCCCATTTGGACTGTGACCAGTGCGACCTTCCAGAAAACAGGCCCCCGCATGGCTTTTTGACAACCCCACCCAGACTTCTAAAGGTTGCAAGAACCCTCAGGAAGCGAATATCCATAGTGACCTCCACCCAGCAACAACAATAGCAACGACGGCAACAATTGTAGCAGCAGCAGCAGCAGCAGCAGCAGCAGCAGCAGCAGCAGCAGCAGCAGCAGCAGCAGCAGCAGCAGCAGCAGCAGCAACAACAACAACAACAACAACAACAACAACAACAACAACAACAACAACAACAACAACAACAACAACAACAACAACAACAACAACAACAACAACAACAACAACAACAACAACAGGAAAACTAGCACACCTTCTGGTGATGACGGTTTGTTTTGGGATCATCCGTGTAGATCACGTAAACGATGTCCCACTTGTGCCACTCATACTCTGCTAGGGTCCAAGAAGCCAAAGAAGCGCCGAGTCTTGTCTCTTTTTTTTGGAGGGCGTGAAGTACTGGAAGATCGCGAACTCCTGGAATCCTTACTGGGGCGAGAAGGGCTTCTTCCGCATCTTGCGGGGCACCAACGAGGGCGGCATCGAGGATCAGGTCGTGGGATCCGCGGCCGACGCCACCTGGGGCCAGGGCATGCAGCAGGAGATCGTCGTCTGAGCGAAGCGAGACATGTGGCTCAAGACCTGGGGCTGAACCGCAGACTGGGGGGGAGTTGAGGGGGCTTGTATGCCGTGTTTGAAGTTTGGGCCACAGCCAGGTGAGCCACGGTCACTGATCTCATGTCGTTCCTTATGCAATAGTGCGACGGATGTTGACCGCTGCATGGCGCTCGAGAGGGCTGGGTCGGTGCTTGGCCGACCCTGCCCTGCCACAGCGACGCCTCAGAAAGCGGAGACGGGGGACTGGGAACTGGGTCCGTTCAAGCGAGCATCTTGACGGGTTCTCAAAATGTATTTTGGTCGGTGTCTTCCCTTTAAACCACCATTTCAAGGGCTCTGATGGACCCAGTATGGTGGAGACATCGATTCCGAAACAGGCTGTGTTCCAATGGCTTCATTGACGTGCCGGTGAAGCACACATGAGGGCAGTGGAGTTTGCCTTTAACAAAGCATGGGGCGTGTTGTCTTTTGGTCGGGGAGCCGATTCTGTGGGTGAGCCGTCTTGGGACAAACTCAGTTTACAAGGCTCGCGGCTCCAGAACATGCCCCAGCTACCTAATGCACCAAATCCATTTTTCCGGATGATCCTTTTCAAGCGCTTTGACTGATCCTTCATGGGGATGGAATCAACAAGTCCCAGCCTGGCTGATTCGGGGACCCCGATTGGGTGACCTCGACGCTTCTTCGAATGGCCTACCCCGCGCATAAGCCGAGGCAGGCTGGTTCATGTCAACGATTGGCACACACGTCGCGGATCCCCCCCCCCAGGTTATAGCACCTGCACGACATGGCAGGGGATTTTCACGGGCAGCTTGCTCCCTCGGAGGTTCTTGCTGCAGTTCGAGCCAAGCTATACCCGCATAGCCGGACGGCTCAAGAGTTTGCTTCTCCGCCAACGTGTCCCAACTGACATGATTGACATCTGTTTGCCAGTGAGGGAATCGAAATTTGTTTGCCGGTGAGGGAATCGGTCAAACATTCCCCAAGCTCCAGGATCACCCAAAAGCTCACGTTGAACTGGCCAAAGGTTCGGTCCAAATCGTCTTATTTATTTGCGTGAGGCTCGTGGGGTTCACCAACCACAAAAAGCAAAGGAACTTACTAGTTGTCCCATGTCCTGCAGAATGACCGTTTTCGACCATGGCTCATATGAGCAATTGACAAACTTACTTGTAGTTTACTGCTTTTTTGGGTATGACCTGGGGCCCCGATATCCCACAAGCAGGAGGGGGGGGGGACCTAATGCTCTTTTGTCTTTTGGAGAATATTTGTACCTTCAATTGTTGCCCATATGGGCGCGTCTTCTTTTAAGGGTGTTTTCTTGTTGTTTTAAAGGGAAGCCCACAGCGAAAACCGGGGCCTACACACCCATATGAGACTTTCAACTGCCCACACTGGAGAGGAGATAGACACTGACTTCAAAGACCATGGATGCGAGCCCAAGAGTCCACAACTTCTGTTTCCCGGCACTGGCACAGCTTCCGGTTACCTCCAATTGGTGGTTTGGATTGGTTTGGAGATTTCAACCTCTGGTGCCTGTTGAGCAAATAGGAAGCCACCCAATCTCCACACCTCCAAACCATCGATCCAAACCACCAAGAGGGAAGCTGACAGCCTTTTTTTTTTTGGAAGACCATGGTTCCAGGCCGAAACCTCCGCCTGAGGCTACATCTGCTCCCGCTGCTCCCGCTGGTCCGCTGGCGCCGGAGCTGACCTTCGGGACCCGTGCGCCTTGTGGTCGAGAAATGCCGGGGGGTCCATATGGGGGTCGATCCATATTCCCGACCGACCTTCGGCCGCCAAATGACCAGGACGAACTCCTGTTGAGTGGGAAATCTCTCATCTTTTTAGTGGTTTTCGGCAATGGTCATGTGGAGAACCTTTTGATAAACCCCCAGATGGGTGTATCATTCTTTGAGGGTCGCCCTTCTTCGTGTTTTTTGAAGAGCCAAAAGGACCACCACCTCTGGGGACCCGAAAAAAAGACGCTCAGATTCAGGAAGCCCCACTTGGTGAAAGGTAAATGGGACATTGCCAACCAGTTTCCGGAAACAAAAAGAAGAAGCAAAAGGAGAAAAGCAAACCAACACGTTCATTCGCACAGTTGTTTTCGAGCCATGTGTCAAAGCCGGCCCCTGCAGGTGGTTTGCTTCCCGCCGGTTTCCGTTACCAGCAGTGCACCATGGCCTCCCGCGTTTTCATAACCTAGGTCCCCCAGTGCCCTTTTACCCTGTTTCGTGAGCAGCGCCTTTGCGCGGTAGAAGGGACGCAGCGGTGGGTAAGACCGAAAACCAGTCTATGAGAGCAAATGCACTGCACAAACCAGACTCAAACCGAAGCGAGTCGGCGCTAGACAAATTTGCGTGTGGAGGGGAAGTGTCACTCGCTGACGAGAAAGTACGCGTGAAATACGAAAACCTAAGTGACGCAGGAGAGCTTCATAGAGGTAGCATGACAAGCTTCCCTTTGACTTCTGGACGATGAAGCGGGTGTTGCCAAAAATTCCAGGCCGCATTCCAGTCAAGATCTTCTGTATTCCGGGATAGCTTTCCGGAAGTGAACCGCCATTTCCGTCTTTTTGTTGGTTCTGCCCACTTTGCTTTTGGCGGAGCCACTTGTTTGGCCTCGCCCCCTAGGTGTCCAAATCAGCCGGTGGTTCACAGCGCGCGGCCTGCGAACCCTTCGACCCACCTGACAAAGATCGCCGAGGTGGGAGGCCCTCCGCCTCCGCCTTGCGAAGGCAGAAACGCCTCCTCTGCCTGAGTTTGCCGCCCAACGGCCTCCCCAAGGATGGCTCCACGTGGTTGGAAGGGAGCTTGGCTGGGGAGCTGGAGGTATCCAAATTTGCTTATAAAGCGTTGGAGCGTTTCGGAGCTACCAGGAGTTCTGCAAGGACGTGGTAGGCACACACTTAGCTGTAGATAAATTACATGTAGCGCAACTAGCTCTAGGATCCAACTCCTTGTGAAGCAGTTCGCTCACCCAACTAGTTGCAATGGAATCCCAAGGTTCATTCCCAAAACCCTTGTGATTCCTGGGAAACCTTAAGAAAAGGGTCAGAATGGACCCTTGCCGTCTGCCGTGAGCAAAGGGAAGACTTACCCGCCTTTTCTAAAGCATGGGGAAAGGGGCAATCTTGGTTTAAGCAACCGGGCCCTACCGTTTGAGCAGAAGCCAAAAACAAAGGCTGCTTGAACAAGGGGTGAGAGAAAAACGCGGTTTGGACCAGGTCATCCCAACCTTGGGCGCCGGAGCACAACTGGCCCAGGGCCGCCAGCGCTGCGCTCGCTTCGTCGGCGCCGGGGAGAGAAGCGTGGCTTCGTGGGGTGCAAAATGTGCGCTGGTTGCTGAGCACGCGCGTGAGAGGTGAGGATCTTTCACCGGGTCGGTGTGGGCCCATCTCGCAATGCCAAGTATGACCAAAGCAACGCCGCTCGGTCAAGGCCTACTTTTCGACGGGGAGGTTTTTGTTGCCAATTTGGTGACCGAAAAAGGATCCTTTTGTGCCGGTGGTGGGGGTTGTGTCCTTCAAAGAACCCTGTAAGGTTGACCCCAGATGAATCAACCCCAGCTTTTTGGAATCAGGCCCCCCGCGCGAATAAACCGGGGTTGAATAAGTTGGGGTCAACATTCGGGCAGGGAAATCCCAGGTCGGGCTGCTTGCTGCCGATCCCAGTCTCAGGCCGAGAAGCCGGCGCCATCGATCCACCCCTTTTGCCCCTTTTTGGGGGGCAAGGAGAACGGGCCGGCGATAAAGCTCAAGCTCCGAGATTTTCTGGGACCATCTTACAAACAAGAACAATGAACTTTTTCTGGCCAATCCACTCAGGACGCGAGAAAACCGAGATAACCTTTGTTTTCGAGGAGCCGCTTCGGCCTAAACCGAGTTCGGGGGAGGGCTCACGGATCTCAGCGGGCGATCGATTCGCCTAAACTGCCACGATCCCGTAGCATTTGGCTCGGGAAGTGTGACATGCGGCCAAGTGTTTTTTTTTTTTAGAAGTAGGTCACTTCTACTTTGTTTTCCTTTGCGCAAAACATTGGAGACAGGTTACCTTCCTCACTCTTCCACTCAGGCTCTTCACTTCAGCGCACCGATGTTCACAGATTTTTGTTTGGACAGGGGGCGAAGAGAGGGGCCATGGCGGGGTCGGACACGCTGCAAGAAGAGGTGCCAAGTGACTGAAAACCGCCGGGAGGGGGGGGGGGTGTCGCTTTCCCCCCCGACGTTAGGGCTCCACTGTAGTTTTGTTTTTTCGTGCTGGTTTCCCATATCCCCCGAACCACTTTGGGTTATCTGCGGATTTGTGAATCAAACTTACCCAGTTGCTCCTTGCAAGAGAAGGGGTGCTTCCGACATGACCTTCGAGGAGGCAGGTTTAATTTTGGCGGGAAAGTAACCGTCTCAATCTGGGTCAGAGGCCTCACGCACACTTTGGGTCAATCGACACGGCCACTATCCTGTGAAAGCCCAAGGGGCCAATCTCAGCCAATGCTTGGCTGAAAAACCTCGTGCAGGTATGGCAGGATAGAGAGCTCCTTGGCGTGTTTTGCGGCGCTGTTGGTTGCAGCTGCTTTTTGGTTGCTGTGGGCGGATGGGCGAAATCCACAAAGCACGGATGGATGAAGCCCTGTAGAAACAATGGGACAAACCACCTACCAACTGGTCCAGAAGTTTGTCCATCCATCATGGATTCGTGCGCCGAGGATCAAGTTCGACCAGATGCCGCAGTTATTGAAACTCCGAAAAGGTGAGTTTCAGCTACTTGGCCGCCGAAAGGAAACAACGCAGAATGCACTAATGTGCTTTGGTGCTTAGCGATTGAGGGGAAAAGGAGAAAGAAACACATAAAACTTGGGGATTGCGGAAGTTTCCAGTTGGGTAGTGATTTGGTAGTTTCCCCTGGATGCAAAGTGCCTGCAAAGTGCGCATGGCTCAGGATCGACTCAATTAACTCGGTGGAGGAGCGCCCCTTTTTTTTTTTTGCACGGCGCGATTCGAGCATTCGAGCGATTAGAGCGATTCGAGCTTCGATGTTTTTTTTTAAAGTGATGCGGCCAGGACACCAAGGGCAACAATGGCGAGAGGGGGATCCTCATTGTCACCAACCTCAGGCCGGGTTCTTGAGCTTTTCAAGAGAGGACGTCTTGCCGTGGGGTTTGCGATGAGTGGCTAGGCAGGCGGCATTCCAAGAGAGGAGTTCTATGGGAGGCGAAGGGCCTAGGTTGCCTATGCCTGAAAGTCAGCCCCTTGCTTCGGAGCCGAGCGGCTGGCTGCTCACACCTCGCTGCGATTTCTTTTGGCATCCGGAAGGTCGAAGGTTGGCGGCCAGGCGGTTTCTTCCATATGGCTGTGGGTGTCAAAACCACTGGGATCCCATTTTGGGGTTTTCGGTGCACCACCCATTTTAGAACCTAGCTTAGTGTTGATTGAATCGGATGTTCAGTGGGGGTACGATTTGGATTTTGACCCATGCATCTCGGCGATTTGGGTGCGAGGCTCATTTGGACCTCGGCCAAGTATGCACGGACGAATTTGAGCCGCCCGGATTTGGACGGGAAAGAGGTCGGGCGGGTGTGAGAGAATGAATATGATTGATTTCAAGCGCGCCGTTCCCAAGAAACAAGGAAAGCACTGGCTAGAAAACTTGCTTAATTTTGTTTGCATGCATGGCGCAGTGCCCTTAAAACAGGTCGATAGAAAGCCTCGATGCTCGCTTGTACCTTCCGCTCTACGAGCTTAGCTTTTTTGCCATACGGTCCTGCCGCTTCATGTCGCCTTCGCCGGGCCGCCGCGCGCTCCCAGGTATTGGCTTCAACTGCGTCTCGAGCGTGAATATCCGCACGGCACCTCGGCAAGCACTCAACGCGCAAAAATTCTACGCAGGGCGGACTGTGACGGTCTATCGCCCCCCAATCGTGGTTGTTGTTGGGAAACCTTTTTCCCATTCTTGCTTATTGTGGTTTAGTGGTTGAAATCCAACCACTTAACTGCTAAGATTTATTTTTTTGCTCCCCTTCCAACGTCAGCAAGCAATTCAAGTGAACACGGAGACCGGAAAGAGGCCTCTCGTTTTTTGGGGCCGCCACTTTGGGCTCTTTGGTGAATTTGCAGCGGAGGAGTTGTGAGGCTGTTTCTGTTGATCACCTTCATGGAAACGTGGAAACGGGCCATAGGGGCTGAATATGAAAGGTGATGCATGAGGCACCAGCCTATTTTACGGGCGAGCTCGCCGGGCAAAACAAGCTCATCAAGACTTAGGTCTGTACTTCCCTGCAGGTCTTGGACTTTCTCACAAACGTTGTAGACGAGCTTACGATACCCTGCCTCCAACAATCATGGAAGTGGATAATTAGGTGGGGTTCCCCAAAAGGAAACTCTTCCTCCAAAACCCTCCTGTTGTCGACAATGGCCGAAAATGGCTGAATACCTTCCAAAATGGCTGAACACGGCTTCCATGATTGGAGGGGAGAAAGCACCTCTTCAGCCATTCCTCCCGTCAGAAAAGCGGCTTGCAGCTCCCTTCTCGAGCAAGAAGACGAGCTCCTCTTCCGGCTAAACGCTGAGGCTGATGTGGGGTTTCTCTGATTTAAGGTTCCTTTTCGGTTTCCGTTACGGCCACCAAAAGAGGGGTACCCTCAAAAAGAGGACCCATCTAGGCAAGCTCATATCAAACGTCTCCTCCCTTCCGTGAAGCTGCTGGCTGGTATGTTTTGATGCCGTCTGACCACAACTTGAGATCTCTTTGCTCAAGAGCTTTAGGGTCGGGATGTGGTCAGCTGAAGCAATGCAGCCTGAGTTTATGTACAGATTCGGCCTGGAAACTCTGGTGTTCGATAGACATTTTGTAATTGGGTTGTAACCATGCTTGTCAAGGGGCTACTCTCCCCCGGTTGCCAGCAAGTTGTCAACCAACTGAGAAGCAACGTTGCCATGCTGAGGAGACCAGCCGACCAACCTCAGCCCCAGCTATATGGCCATGGGTCAAAATCCAAATCGTATTTCAGCGAACATCCGATTCAATCCCCACCACAATAGAATAACTAAAATGGGTGGTGCGCCGAAACCCCCAGAATGGGATCCCAAACGGTTTTGACACCCACAGCCGTATCAGCTTGCATTGCTTGAACACCCCCTCCCCCCTCCCGCTCCTTTCCAAGGTGAACTCGAAGCTTCGTGGGAACAGCCAGGCGCTCTATGTGCCAGCCCCAGCGGGCGAGCTTCGAGTCGCGGCCGGCCGGGTCCCGTATGGTTCCCGGCCGTCCGGTTCCTTAGGTTTTGAATGATTGGTTGTTGATTCAGCGGTCGGGTTTCCATTTCTCACTTCCTGAGTTCATGAACTTTAAACTTTTTTGGAAGACCATTTTAGTGGTAAGTACAAAGTTTGGACTTTTTCTGGGCCATCCACTCAGAGTGAGATTTTTGGCCCACTGAAAGATGGAAGCTGTTGGCAGGGAATCTGACAGCCCAGCTTTCTGAGAGCACCTCGAAGAGTCCAGCAACAAACATCGGTCCAGCTTGCCATGAATAGGCAACACCGAGCAAATGAGCCCAAGGGGGTTCCGCGTTCTTGGTTTGGCATACTGAGCATGGAAGTAATTATTCTGCATGCACATGTTTTTGCTATCCTGTTGATGGACAAATTCCTGCGCCTGTTAGAAGGTGTTTATCCCAGTGTTCGGTGCAGACTTCTGTTCCTGCACGGTATGAGTATTGGTTCGTGTCGTTTTTTGACGGCACCCATTGCGTTGCGGGCTTGTGCTTCAGTACTTCAGAGAAGCCACAGAGGTTTCACCGGCCATTTCAGAGGTGCCCACGCTTGACAAACCGATATGGGGGGTTTCTGAAAATGGTGGACCGGACTTGGTTGGTGGTTGAACGGGAGGCCAAAAGGAAACTGCTCGTGCCTTTGCCCGCCCCTCTCCCCCCACCCCATAAAGGTTTTTCGGCCATTGAGGTCATGACGCGCTACAACTCCACCCGCTTCGAGTTCATCTTCACATCTCTGGCAGCCCGCTCAGAGAAAGTGGCTCCAAACAGGTTCCCTTGAAGGACGCATTTGGGGCGCGAAAAATCCGGGCCTCGCCAGCTGATTTGGAGGTTCCCGCGTGAAGAGAGAGAGAGAGAGAGAGAGAGAGAGAGAGAGAGAGAGAGAGAAAGAGAAGCCGGCGGGTTTGGGACTGCCCTTTGGCAGTTTCCAGTCCCGCTTCAGGATGTCTTTGAACTTGGACACGCGGCTGCCCGCACAGAAATACTCACTTCCTGAGTTCCTGGACTTTGGTCACTTTTTGGCTTCGCCCATTTTAGTGCTAAACAAGTTCAGATTTTTTCATGGCCAATCCACCCGGTCGGAAGTGAGGAAAGGGCAAGCAGATTCCTCCCCACCTCATACATGTCGTACATGTTGGTTCCATTGCAGGGGTGAAGGACTGAGTGGTGCGGAAAGGACCCAAATAGTCCAACGCATGACCTACACTTGTATACTGGCTAAGTCAAATGCCTGCGGTGTGCCCCCAACATACACCAGTGCAGTCACGCTGTTGTTCACTTGGTGGTTGATACCGGTGACGGTTTGGATGGTGTTAGCACGAGCGGTTTTCACAAACCAGTTGCGGAAGTTCGGCCCAAATGAAAGCGCGTCTTGGGCAAGGGGTTCTGAGACTATGAGCGAGAAATGACGCTGAATCGAGCGCCCCCCCAAACAAAAACACGGAAGAAAGACACAACAACAACCCACATCTTCAAAGGCAAAACAAGGCCCCCCTTGAAAAAGACCATCCCACTCTAAAGAATTTCGGGGCCCTGGTATCGTCTTCAAAAAGTTCGGCTGCGCTCATCCAGGGCCTGTCGGGGTGTCTTTTTGTGTTTTTTTTGGTGGGGGGGGGTACCTCTTTCGGGGTGGTTTGAAAGGGACACCACAGAAACCGTGAAGCCGTTTCGGGGGCTGCCCTATTTCAAGCGGCCAGTCGAATGTCGGATCGACAGGTGAAGCACAGCCCGCGGCTGTTCACCACAGTCCAGGCACGTACCTGATGCAGCCATGGTTTTAGCACCCCTATATGTTCAGCCAAGGCACAAGTGGTTAGCAACCTAGGTTACAGCCTGCAAGTCCCCTAAGTGGGGTTATCCTTGTTATTAGGGGGCTATAGCCTAAGTGGTCAACCACTTTCTACGATCTCTCCTTTTCGTTCCCAAAGGTTGCCAAAGTGGCTTTTCAAACCAACGTAACATCAAAACAGCCCCTGGCAGATTCGTTTTGGAACCCCACGGGGATCCCGCACAATTGAGGTTCCGCTTCGTTTTTTTGTGGCTCATTTCTGGCCAAGAGAGAGGGACTCTCCTAGAGGTGGGTTCCAGCATGCAAGCCTGACACGGGCGCTCAAAGATCACCTTCACCAGCTGTTTGGGAGAATTCACTGGAAAATCGGGTGGTTTTTGGTTGTACCCTTCCGCATTTCACGTAGGTGACGCAATTTTTCGGATTTGGGTTTATCTATCCTACTTCCGAATGGAACTGTGCCATCTACTGAGTCCAATGTTAACCTCGGATTGAGCCGGAGGGCCCCTAGTCCGAGGAACTTGTACCACTTACTCGCAAGGAGAGCCATCCCAGTTTTGTTGGCTCCGAAAGCTGAAGTTGACGTAATTCACCAGGCCGTCTTCAGTGCCAGGCGGTCTTCAAAAGCTATGAGACCACCAAGCTCTATAGAGCCGCTGGACAGAAACGATCCCATCCGAGCCCCGAAGCTGAGAGTTCTGTGGCTGGCATCTGCTGGGAGGGGCCGATTGTTTTTGGAGGGTCCGGGGCACATGACCCGAGGCGCGCCTTTTGCGTCGACCGGAGTTTGGGGCCGTCTTTAAGGTGAGTTCAGGTGAGCCTGCTCCGCGGAGAGCCGGTGCTTCGGGGCAGAGAAACCCAAGGAACAGCATACGGCCCGCTCTGAACCACCAAAACAAGGCTCTCAGGTTTTCAGGGAACGGCGGCGGATCCTTCGGCCGTCTTAAACCACCCTCAAGCCGTGGGCTTGTTTTGGTGGTTCCGGCCCCCTTCCACAGGCGTGCCGCATGCCAGAAAACGGCCAAATGGCCAAAACCATGGACTCGATCCTGACTTTTGGCTCCGAGACGACCTGATGTGGTTGCAAACTGCTTTTGCGACCAAGCTCCACACAAGTGGCCCGCTATACGCTCAGGATCTGAAACTTCGGGGCGCCATCATCCGCGAGAAGGAGCTCATCATGCTCCCGAACGAGCAGGCCCCGCGGTCCTTTTTCCCCCTTGAAAAGCCAGACGCCCAGTGGATGGACATCCTTTTTCAACTTGTTGGATGCAAATTCTTCAACTTGTTTGTTGGGGGGGGGTTCCCTCGTACATCAACCAATCAGGGAGTGCCGTTTCTTTTTTCCCTAATGGCAAACACCAAGGTTATCCTGTCTTACTCTGTGCAAGCAGGCAAGCTCCGAAAATACAGCCTCGCAGAACAAGTCCGCCGGTTGGGGCCCAGTTCCGGTAGATATGTTGAATCAATCCACTTCATTCACCCCTTTTTGCTTCCACGGTCCTCAACTCAGGGCTTCTTCTGGGGGTTGATTTCCCATTCTTTTCAACCATCGTTCTTTCCAAAAACCAGCAAATCCTTTTTTTTCTGGGGATTCCGGAGGTTTTCTAGAAAGAAGCTGGAAAGAATGGGGAAGGTACCCCTAGACTTATTGGGGCCCGAGATCCAACCGGAAAAAACGAGGAAACAAAAACCGCCATTTTGGGGCACCGGGAGGTGTACGAGAAGATCAACGGCATTTGGAACCTCTCCTCCGACCAAGGCCGGCCGTTTCGCCGCTTCGCCGCTTCGCCGATGCGCGCGGCTCGCGCGGCTCGCACGGCCCGATGGGTTTGAGCCGGGGAGTTCGGCAACAGTTGGCCCAAGGAGCGCTCAGACTGCGCAAACCATGAGAAGCCCAATGTTCGTTGGGTTTTTTAGGGGAATCATTCCCGGGTTTCCTGGGTGGTGCGAGAAACCCAATGTTCGTTGGGTTTTTTAGGGGAATCATTCTCGGGTTTCCTGGGTGGTGCGAGAAACCCAATGTTCGTTGGGTTTTTTAGGGGAATCATTCTCGGGTTTCCTGGGTGGTGCGAGAAACCCAATGTTCGTTGGGTTTTTTAGGGGAATCATTCTCGGGTTTCCTGGGTGGTGCGAGAAACCCAATGTTCGTTGGGTTTTTTAGGGGAATCATTCTCGGGTTTCCTGGGGTATGTTCGGGTTTTCCCAATGTTCGTTGGGTTTTTTAGGGGAATCATTCTCGGGTTTCCTGGGTGGTGCGAGAAACCCAATGTTCGTTGGGTTTTTTAGGGGAATCATTCTCGGGTTTCCTGGGTGGTGCGAGAAGCCCAATGTTCGTTGGGTTTTTTAGGGGAATCATTCTCGGGTTTCCTAGGTGGTGCGAGAAACCCAATGTTCGTTGGGTTTTTTAGGGGAATCATTCTCGGGTTTCCTGGGTGGTGCGAGAAACCCAATGTTCGTTGGGTTTTTTAGGGGAATCATTCTCGGGTTTCCTGGGTGGTGCGAGAAACCCAATGTTCGTTGGGTTTTTTAGGGGAATCATTCTCGGGTTTCCTGGGTGGTGCGAGAAACCCAATGTTCGTTGGGTTTTTTAGGGGAATCATTCTCGGGTTTCCTGGGTGGTGCGAGAAACCCAATGTTCGTTGGGTTTTTTAGGGGAATCATTCTCGGGTTTCCTGGGTGGTGCGAGAAACCCAATGTTCGTTGGGTTTTTAGGGGAATCATTCTCGGGTTTCCTGGGTGGTCGTTGGGTTTTTTAGGGAATCATTCTCGGGTTTCCTGGGGGTCGCGGGAAAAATCGTTGGGTTTTTTAGGGGAATCATTCTCGGGTTTCCTGGGTGGTCAATGTTCGTTGGGTTTTTTAGGGGAATCATTCTCGGGTTTCCTGGGTGGTGCGAGAAACCCAATGTTCGTTGGGTTTTTTAGGGGAATCATTCTCGGGTTTCCTGGGTGGTGCGAGAAACCCAATGTTCGTTGGGTTTTTTAGGGGAATCATTCTCGGGTTTCCTAGGTGGTGCGAGAAACCCAATGTTCGTTGTTTTTTTAGGGGAATCATTCTCGGGTTTCCTAGGTGGTGCGAGAAACCCAATGTTCGTTGGGTTTTTTAGGGGAATCATTCTCGGGTTTCCTAATTAGGTGGTGCAAGATGGAGTTCGTCTTTCAGTATGGAGATCCGAATTTCACCAAGGCCAGAGATTTGCTTGGGGTTCCTTCAGGCAACCTGGGGACCTTCATCATCACCAACGCCGGGATCCCTGGAACTGCGGTGCGTGGCCACGAGAGCACCGGCCCCGCGCAAGGCGCGAGAGAACTCGCCGAATCGTTCCGAGGTGCGCACTGTGTGGTTTGCCGTGCTGGCCGAGAACTTCAATGCCCCGCGCTCGGAAGGGGCCGGAGAAAAAAAAGCGCACCGCGCGCGGGTCGCTGGGTCGCTGGGTCGCTGGGTCTCGGTGCGGGGGGGGGGGGGGGTGCGCGGGTCGGTCGGTCGGTCGGTCGGTCGGTGGCGTGTCGATGTCGGGGTCCCTTTCCTTGGGCCCAGGTCTCCATTCCGTACCTGCAGATGAAGAGCATCAACGTGAGGACCCCCGCCTGAGGCTGCAACGGCGAAGGGAGAGGCAAGAGGCTCTAAGTTGTCAGTCACACCTGCACCTGTAAGACGCGGCAAAAAAGCAGCTCCAAATCTTTGGCGTGCCCGGTGAATCCATTTACCTGAGTACCAGGTAGCAAAGGGGACCACCTTTGAACGGCAGAAAATAGTTTGTTGCCAGCTATAGGGCGGCATGGGATTTAGTGGGGTGTGTTTGACTGATTCATTGTTTGAGAGATCAATTGCTTAATTCTCTTAACTGCATCAACTGAACTTGCCGACTGGCCACGAGGGCGGAAGGATCAGCTGGACAAACAGATGCCATGGAAAACTTGCAATGGTCACTGCACGCCATCTGCCTCGTTTTTGTAGGGTAGCCGGGTTTTCAGGTGTTGGAAGGCGAAACCAAAGGGAAACCACCCGATTCTGAGGGTCTCCCGTAAAAACACGGACCCACTTTGCTTGCTGAGGAACTCCAAGTTTGGGCAGGCCCTGGTTATCGAGACCACTGCCGCCAGTGGCTTGGCTGGTGAAAATACACCACCCCTTCCCCGGCCGTAGCTGGCTTGGCTTGGCTTGGCTTGCCTTGCTTGCCTTGCTTGCTTGCTTGCTCGCTTGCTTGCTTGATTGCTTGCTTGCTTGCTTGCTTGCTTGCCTGCTTGCTTGCTTGCTTGCTTGTTCTTCTCTTGTTTTTCTTGGCAGGGGGGGGTGGCTAAGCCGAAGGATGGCCACTTCCATGAAGAAAGTGGCTGAGGGTCCTTTGCCGTTTCTGCCGGTTCCGCCCTTTGTGGGGCATCAAGCGAAAGAAGGAGGACCATTGCGTTTCCGCATTATTTTGCGGATTTATCTCAAAAATGTTAAGGAACCCTGCAAAACGCTTGGCTTCTGGAGGTTTTCCTTTGGGTTTCCCTTTGAACGCAACCAAAAAGAGGTTCCCAATGAAAAGGCACGCCCATTGGAGCTCGGACTGCGTCTGGCAAACTGCTGTGCGAGGCGGAGGCTACATCCTCGGCTTCCGCGCGGATCCGGTGGAGCATTTGGAGGAGGCCGGCTGGCGGACGAAGAAAGAGAAAGGGCCCCCCCCCCCAAAAGTTGCGGGGTTTCCTTGGCTTCCTTTTTTTCCCCGCTCCCAGAAGCCGGCCAAACTTAAGAGACTGAACTCCCGTCCTTTGGGGAGCTCTGGAGGCCCAGAAAGTCACGGCTGGCAAGAGGCAGTGGTTCTGATTGGGTTGCAAGCAGCCGAAACGCCAAGTAGCGCTGGCTTGCTCACACCAGCATGGAACCCCATTTTCGGGCACTGGGAACGCAACCAAGCGTTTTTTTTTGTTGGTCCGCGCGGGGGTCTCCGCTTTGGACGCGCCAGCTGCTGGAAACAGACTTGTCAGTAGAACTTGGCAGAAAGCTCTTGAAATTGGAAAACAAAACACTCTTTCGCGGACAAATTTCTGAGTGTTTGTTGGGGGCATGTTTGATGCGGACTTTGATGCCATACAACAAAGAGTTGCAGTTTTGGATGTTGGCTTCAGCAACAGGAAGCGCGGGAGCCAAGTTCGTGTGCTTTTGACAGGCTTTCGTTGCATATGAGTCACTTGCGCGGGCAGCTTGCCTATGTGCAGGGCTGACAAAAACGCCACATGGCCATAACATTCTGAGAACCGTCACCAAAACTCCGTCGGCGTCTTTCAGTGAGTCGGCCGTCCCCCCAAAGACGGCACGGTGCCCAGTGTCCCACGGTGATCGGCCTGGCTCCACGAACATCTCGCGGAGACTCGCGGTAGGGTCCGTCAGCTCATCTAGTTTTTGTCTTTCTTCCAGGGGAGATGTTCGGACCAACGCTAAGGCTTGGGCAAAACTGGTGCAAGAGAAACAACCTGGTACCACAAGGGCGGCCAGAAGCAGGATGCGCAGTGATGGGCCAAAAGAAGGTTGTTTGAACCACGGTCATGTTTCCGCGCCTCATAACTCAACCCCCCCCCCCTCCCTCCCTCCGGTGGGCCTAGCAGGTCTACACCCAGATTTACAACCTCTGGCCGCCTGGCGGCATGCGAGCTGGATCAACTGTGTTTTGTTTTGGCGGGTGGGGTGGGGTGGGCGGGGGGTAACTTTTATTACTTGTTTGTTTGTTTGCTTGTTTGTTTGTTTGTTTGTTTGTTTGTTTGTTTGGGTCCGGCGGGGGAGGGGGCGGGGTTTACCCCAGAAAGTGAAGGTGAAGGTTCCCCTGTAAATGGCATGCCCCCCCCCCAATTAATCAACTTGGGGTTTACAGATCCTGGGTTTCCGGCCAGAGAATGCCGGGCACGAACAGGGAAGGGGCATGAAGCGTCGTTTCAGTCATTTTGCTTGAGTCGTCGAATTGTTTCTGGTGGGTTCGCGTGTGTGTATTTTACAGTCCCCCCCCAACAAAGATCTCAGTCGGAACAGGTGAGTTTCGACTCAAACAGCCCTGCCACCAGACCCAGTTCGCGGCCGCAGGAAGATCTTTAGCGTCACCCCCATCTTCGGCGTGGACTTCGCGGTGGAGGAGCAGCGTTTAGGTAGTTCGGTGGTAGCCATCGGCACATTCAGGCCCCTAAACAACCACGGTTACTTCCCAAGTTGTTTTTTTGTGTTTTTTTTTGCCGGAGAGTACTATTTGTTTTTCAGGTTGTTTTTTTTGGGGAACGCCAAAAGGAGAACCACCAATTATTTGTCGGGCCCCCCTTGTTCAAAAACTTCACCTCAAATCTCCGAGGGTCCTGTGAGCTGAGGAGAAGCCGACCGATGCGAAGGAGAACTTCGTGCCCCGGCAGGAGGACGGCTCATGGGGCCAAATTTCGCAAAAGGAGGGGTTAGAAAGTTTGGCGGCTGGTTTCATTGGGAGGCTGAGCTCGCCTTTTGGCCAACTTCTGGACATTTTGCGCTTTTGTTTTTGTTCGGCCCTTTCGGATTTCCGTTTTTTTCCTTCTTCTTTTCTTCTCCGCTTTTAGCCCTCCGGCCGTTCCCTCCACCGAGCCGCAAAAGTGCGCGCGATTGCCTTGAAATGGCCGTCCCCTTGAAGGGCTTCAGGGGGTCCAGGTGTGGCGGTGCTGGTGGCCAGGCCGCGGTCTCAGAGACCTGTCCTGCGAACCGAAGGCTTGGCAACGACAAGCACAGCCACAAAGACCACCACAACCTCCGCAGCAGCAACAAGAAGAAGCAGAAGAAGAATAAGAAGCAGAAGAAGAATAAGAAGCAGAAGAGGAAGAAGAAGAAGAGCTACAACAGTAGCAGCACACCAACAACAAAGAGCATGCCGGTTGCCCTACAGGTGTTGGCAGAGGCTTGTCCGGTGTGCTCATCGCAGGATGACGTGCAGATCGTGGAGGGGGACGACATTGAGCCATGCTTGCTGTACCAGCAGGGCCCCTGGGTTTGTGGGCTGGAAAGGGGAGCAAGGTGCGCAGCTATGCAGAAAGCAACGCACATCAATCAATCAACCAACCAACCAACGAACCAATCAATCAATCAGTCAGTCAATGAATCAATCAATGCATCAATGCATCAAGCAATCAATCAGTAAATTAATAATTTAAATCAATCAATCAATCAATCAATCAATCAATCAATCAATCAATCAATCAATCAATCAATCAATCAATCAATCAATTGATCAAGCAAGCAAGCAAGCAGGCAGTCAAGCAAGCAAGCAAGCAATCAATCAGTCAATCAATCAATCAATCAATCAATCAATTAATCAAGCAAGCAAGCAAGCAAGCAAGCAGACAGTCAAGCACGCAAGCAAGCAAGCAAGCAAGCAAGCAAGCAAGCAACCAACCAACCAAGCAAGCAAGCAAGCAATCAACCAACCAACCAACCAATCAATCAATCAATCAGTCAGTCCGTCAGTCAATCAATCAATGCATCAATGCATCAATCAATCAATCAATCAATCAATCAATCAATCAATCAATCAATCAATCAATCAATCAATCAATCAATCAATCAATCAATCAATCAATCAACCCACCAACCAATGAATCAAGCAATCAATCAAGCAAGCAAGCAATCAGTTTGTCAATCAGTCAACCAGTCAATCAGCCAATGAAGCGGTCAATTAGGCAGTGAATCAATCAATCACTCAATGAATCAAGCAAGCAAGCAATCGACCGGTGGATCGATCAATCCATCAATCCATCAATCCATCAGTTCATGTGATGGGCATCAGGTTCATCTGATTTCCCTCCCTGCGTTGAGCCTGCCAAGTTCCACGCCCCTTTTCATGAACCAAATTGAATGTGGACAGGCGTTGTCTTCAAGGTCCTCGCTGCTACGGGGTTTTCATCCAGTGCCCGCTAGCACGGATAATGGCCGGGCGGAAGTCGGGGCGTTTCTTGAGGTACTAAGTTCAGGGCCAAGGGGCCCCGAAGCTCCAGGACTGGTTCGTTTCCTCTTGGTTTCCATTGAGGCACACCAACTCGGCAGACTTAACACCTCCAAAAGGGGGTCATACTGATGGACGAAATCCGTTCGCACCACTCTGAAACCATACGGGAACCATGAAAAGTTGGTTTGTTGGTATGTACAGGATCGACTCTGAATGTAGGGGTCTCTCCGAACGGTGGTGCCGATATGGATGTCGCATCCATCCACAGCGCCGTTTTCAGCGCCTGAGGCCGGACGGCGAGAAGGAGATCGACCGGGAGCCCGCGTTCAATGCCGAGCGGGCGGCCACGGAAACACCAAAACACGGGGCGAGCGGGGAACGGATTGAAGAAACCTGATGGGCGGATAGACCTCACCTTTGGATTTTCGGATCCATGGCCTAACTTGTAAGAGGTTCCGTTGACCTGCGAAATTCGTTCAAGCACCACCGTTCAGGAACACTAGGTTCGGATGATTCCCCTGTAAATGCCAACCATGACCCACTTTGAAGCCACAGGATTTCCACTGCATTGGCCAACCTCAGTTCATTCATAGGGGGGTGTCAACCTGGGTGAAATGTGGTTAGAATCAGACCACTTTTGGAGAAAACCCCGCCCCTCGAATTTAATGAACATGCGTTGAAATTCATATGGGGTCAACGTGAAGCCAGACCCCAAACCCAAGCTTTTGACCTTTTGATTTCCATGGGGGATCACCTATCTATCTCGGCCCCAAAGGGGTAGGGGAAACCAGGCTGAAGGTCCTTTGCGGGGGGTTCCCTTATGCGGAATTGTGAAATTGCTGATGTTGGATTTTGAATTGGGGGGTTGTCCCATTCTAGCCAGGGGCCCTTCATTTTACAGGACACATTCTTCAATGAATCCTTGAGGCCCCCGCACGATTCCAAAACCCATGATGTAGGACCTTTGCAGCCAGCAAAAAACATATGTAGGAACATAGCCAGATACCCTCCCAAACACTAGGGTTTGGGCTAATTTCTTGTCGTTCCTGCAGAATTTCCCAGATGGTAACTGGCAAACGCTTTAACGCTTCGCTGCTCAACAAAACATGGAGTTGCCTCAAGCGGCCTCTAAGGCAATGCTGTTAGGTTCCCGTCTTCCACTTTTCGTCTGGGTTGGCTGGGGCTTCAGATCTTGGCACTGGTCCTTGCTGCGAGAGAGATGCGGCTTGTTCCATGGAGCTCACCGCTTTCTCGCGGAGTCGAACTTGACATACCTTCTACTTTCCTTCGGCCGGTGGGCACTGGGCAAGGAAGGCGGCTTTCAGTTGAAGCGGCAAACTCAACCGGGATTTTTTGATGCGGTCCCGGCACCGCCCGTTGCTCGCTCCCCCTTCTCGAGGGCACAACTGAAAATTGAGAACATGCTCTCATCATTTTCCGGCCAAAGGTTTTTTTGGCGGTTCCCGCATGCCCTCAGGTGTTTAGGTCTTTAGGGTTTAGGGTGGGTTCCATTTAGCACGCGAATAATCAAGCTTCTTTTTTGGCGGGGAATCTGAGGACAGCCCAGGCTTGGTGAGTTCGCTTGTAGGTCCATGGGGGAAAAAAAGGCCAAAGAAAGAGACACCAAGACAAACGGCTTGTAGGCGTTTCATGGAGAAAAACAAAAACAAAGAAAGAGACGCCAAGACTTCACGTTGGGCTCGGTGTGCCGCTGTGTTTTCGTGTGAGGCTCGAGGGGTGCTCCTCTTTGGGAGTGATTGTAAGCCGCCCAACTTGGCTGGTTCCCAGGGAGTGAGAAATTCCAAGAAGCCAACCACAAAACGTCAGTTCCACAGGGGTTTCCCCTGATTTCGCTGGGAATTTAAGGCGCGTGTCCTGTAGAAAGTTTTTCTTGTAGCTGGTTTCTATGAGAAATGACCTGAGGGCTGGGCTCTGCAAACTCCATCCCTATCTTCAGTTGGGTTCACTTTCCCAACTCGACTCGGAAAAAAATCCCAAACCCCATGCTGGTGTGATAGGGTTGGATTCCCGAAAGGAAGCCACCAGGGGAGGTGTTTCTTAGGCTCATGGACCATTTCTAGGCAAAAGATGGAATGACCATCTTCTACCCCATGGGTTTTTAGTGGACTGGCCATCTTACGAGGCATTTTCTGCGGCGTTTTCTTTCTCTTCGCTAGCGGATCCCCGGTTCTCATTCCCCGCAGCTCATTCCCCGTCTCGAGGCTGGGCCTCGCAGTGGAGCGCCTCAAGGACCTGGCAAGGGCCTTTGCTCGGTTGGGGCGTCGGGCGTCGGGGGTCGGGGGTCGGGGGGGGGTTTTCCGGGCGAAGCCACCGCCCCAAGGGGCGGTTTCTTGTTTTCAACAAGGCCCGCCGCGTGTTTTGCTTCTGCCTTCTTTTTTTCCAGAGGCGTGGTGCGGTGCTCTGCTTACTCTTGTTTTTTGCAGTGGCCAAATGGCTCGGACCGGAAACAACGGTTCATTTGTTTGTTTGGTGAAGGGCCACTTTGTCTTCACTCACATATTGGCCCCAGCATGGAAGAAAATGCTTCCATTGCCGTGTTTCGTGGAGAAGTGATTTGTTCGAATCAAGTGACCCAAAACGAGCAAGACTGCCGGTGGGTTGCTTCCCTTTTTCCGCTTTTTGGAGGGTGGATGTGTGGGGATATGCCATTTCGTGTCCTGGTATGTGATCAAGGATCACAATTTGTGTGCCTGTGAGGGGTAAAATCATCTACAAATGGTGCCTTCGTTCCTTTCTGCAAACCTCTGAGGCTTGGCGAAAGGCTGGTGCACTTGTTTAGCCGTTTTGAACGGCTTCCGGGCCTGATGCGATCCAATTCAATGTGAGCCTCGAACTCCATCCTCACCAAAAGCAATTCATCCTGTGGGCAAATGGGTCTAAGAATTTGGCCAAAGATGCAAGCCATTGTCATATATATATATATATATATATATGTGACAATGTGGTGGCTCCATCTGGATATGCGGGTATGGATCCAATCTAATCAAACAACATCTAACCTATGCATGGAGCCAGCCTAATCTTGTCTATTCTGATCTGCTCTGCGTATGTATATGCATCTTTCTTGTTTTTGTCACTGCCTGACATCCGCCTGCCGACTGGCCCTCCCTATGTAGCAACATGGGGACCCCGTTGAAGTTGGTGCAAGGGATGGGTCAATTCGGTTTGCGAGAGGTCACCAGGGGGATGTTTAAACACTTTTCGTGTTTAAGCATGTAAGAGCGGGTGTGTTTTTGAATCCTCGCTGCATGTTTGGGCAGGAGAACAACACTTTTCATGTTTAAGCATGTAACCGCGGGCTTGATTCAATCCTCCGTGCATCTTTGGGCAAGCGACTTGAAAGGAGAACACCACGATCCAGCAGCTTTGGCAGATTGTGTGAGGGCACCTTCCGCGCGAAAACCCGCGCGCCTCTTCGGCGCGCTGGCTTTTCCTCGCATCTTCGTCCGTCTTCGGCGACGGAGGTTTCTGTTTCACCGCATCCGCGCCCGAAAGATGGGGTGAAGACAGGCCACAGAAACATGCACTTCTTGACCGGGCCGTAAGTGGTCTCAAAACAAAGAGGGTCTCCACTTACTGAACTGAATTACCCCGTGACTTGCGAGACGAAAGGTCAAACAGAGGGGGGTTATTCCTTGTGCTAGGGTGACCCGGCCCTGCCAGGGCGATTCGCCGATACGCCGTTTGGCTAGGGTAGGGTGCTAGGCTTCCCTAGATTTCCCCTTCCACCATCACCTCCGAAAGGAAGCATCATTTCAATTGCCAAGGTGATGTTTCAATCCACCTCTTGAAGGGAACAATACTTGTGGATGGACGAAATCGTCTAAGGCACCTAGGAAACCTTGGTTTGTGATGACCCCCCTGTCAATACCAACAAACAATATGGGACCTTTGAAACCCTCGTTTCGACACCACCAAGAAGCACCCTCTTGGAGCGATTCGATTCCCCAACGTAATGCCAAGAAACGTCATGGTTTCATTGCCACGGTGTCATTTCCTTCCCCAGAATTGGCTGCCCTTTTCATTTTTTGCTTCTTTGGGGTCCCCTTTGTTTTCTACTAGCCGCTAGCCAGGCAAAAAAGCATTTTTTCAGCTAGGATCCTAGTTCCAGCCAAGTTTGGCCAATGTCGTGGTGCCCAAGTTTCGTGGTGCCCTCGAAGGGATTTCGGCACAAAACCCGTCGATCCAGGTGGATGATGGCAAGCTCCGTGCCTGCCAGCGGGGCGAGTCAAGCCGTGCCTTGGATCGGAGAGTGCGGGAGTTTCACTCGGGCTGGGGGCGAGGGGGAGGGGCAGCGATAAATAAGGGCTTATGAAGAGCTTACGAAGAGCTTAAGAGCTTATTCAGGGCGTATTAAGAGCTTATTAGGGCTTATTCCGACCTTATTACGGGCTTATTCCTCCCCTCCCTCCCCCCCCAGCCCCCTCTGAGTTGAGTTTGGGCTGCGGACGGTGGGGTCCCCAAATATTGCAAGTGAACCATTGTAATGACCGTGGCCCACATAGGGAGCTGGACCACACAAGCAATGACAACAAAACCACAACAACAGAATGAAGTACATTGTTGTTCCTCTACCTACAGCATTGACTGCGTTGCCCGGAAGTTCTGGTCGATATTGTTTGGAAAGACGAATGTCATCCCTCCTGTTTGGGGGTTTTCCTGCGAGAACCCCGCCATAGTACAAGCGTCCTGCTTTCGTTTCTTCAATCATGGCCGCCGAGCCGTTTGAGACATGTGAGCTTTGGTTAGCAAGTCCAAAGAAGTGTGTGGTTCATTTGCGAGGGACACGGGGGAACTAATTAAATCCCCCGCCCAAATCAGGTGACTGCGGGGCGTTCACAAGAAAGAAGTACCAATTTGACTCTGCGTCAATGAACCACAGGGTTTCCCACAAGCTTCGCGGCCCGATTTGCGGCTTGACAACTCGCTCCGAGGTCGCGTGCATCTTGGCGCGCCCTCCCAAGGCAGGTCCGTTGTGGTCCGGGGGATCTGGTTTTCTTGCGCCTGGATTTTTGGACTTAAAGCCCTGGATTTTGCTGAACGATGCGAAAAGCAGGACCCTTTTGTGTGAGAACCAGCGCTTTGTACTCCTTGCGCTGGAGAACTAGGGCTCGTTGTACCGTTTGCATTTGGAGAACCGTTGAGGAGTTTGTTGAAAGAAGGTCTGCCAACCCTAGCCGCAGCAGTTCACTTGGTGGTGTCTGCCCAGGCCAACGCTGCCGGTCGCTGATGTACAGCCCGTGCGGTCCGACAGAAAGAGCCCAGCGCTGACAGGCCTGGCGGGGCGGGGAAAAGGTCTGACTTGAGCTTCGGGAGTTTGTTCTATCACGCAGTCTCATGGGACGCTTCGTTCAGAACGGGCCGGAGGCCTGGTGAATCAGGATCGTCTGGCTGGGAAAGCGTCAAGCTGGTGTGCCGTGCCGCTGTGCCGTACCGCGTTTTTCTTGGGTTTTGGCCGATTTTGTTGGAAACCAACAGGGACACCCAGCCATTTTGGGGGTCCCGCTGTGTTGAGACTGACCTTGCTTAGAGTAGAGGCTTTTAACAGATTTGCGACTTTTCCGGGCCAGTTACTTGATCACAAGACTTTGCTTCTTTTCGGGTGTCTTTAGACTAGCGCTGTTCCGGGGCATTTGCTTGATCGCAAGACGTCTGAAGTGAGCGGCAAAAAGGCTCTAGAAAAAGGACTCATCATGATCGCACCTTGGGCTCAAGAGGATTCTATGCTATCTCAATGCTGTGCTGCACAACTCGATGCGCCTTTCACCAGCCCACGCTTACCCAGCAGCTCAAAAACATACGCGGATGCAACAAGCGACGTGTGGGATACCTCCCCGAAAAAAGAAAACAAAGTCCAAAGAAAGCACGTTCTACATGAAGCACAAAGGACATAGGGAAAACATATTCAAGCAAAGCATGTTCCACATGAAGCACAAAGGACATAGAAAAATGTTCAACCAAAATATATGTTCTAAATGAAGCACAAAGGACATAGGAACTACAGTGACTCCCCTGGTTTTTTTGCCAGCTTTGTGCGAAGACGCAAAACCGGCCTCGAAACCCTGCCATGGCTGTGAAGCGGCAGAGGACAGGGGTTTCGCTTGCCCCGCGAAGCCACGCGGATTTGGCTGTGCCGTTTTGGGATCCCATTTCGGGGTTTTCGGTGCACCCACCCATTTTAGAACCTATTTTAGTGGTTGGATTGAATCGGATGTTCACTGGGGGTACGACTTGGATTTTGACCCATGGCCATTTGGTTTTCCAACTTGTGGCAGCGGCTTCCTCTTGGTTTCCCGTCCAAAACAGGACCCTTTTTGGTCAGAACACCCGAAGCCCACCACCCGCGAGGACCACGGACTTCCTGTCCGCGGGAGAGGAGTTCCTCGAGGAGGCCTATGAAGAGGCACGCTTGGGCGGGGCTCCTTAAGAGATATGTTTTGCAACCATTTGAAACATGTTGTTTTTCAAGACCAAAGAGAAGGGAAACCACCAAGGCAATGTTCAGGTGTATAATGTAAGGATCCCTGTTGGGCGGGCTGACTTTCTGCGCGACTTCCTGCTTGCCGATGGCTTTTGCCGCTCCCCCCCCCAACAATCGGGAGGAAGCGAAGAAGACACACGGCCGGGTTGCGCGATTTGGGCCCAAAGGCAGAACAAGCAAAACCGGAGCGAAATTCTCCAGCCCTGATGTTGATCCAGCGTCCCTAGGGGACAGGCGACGAACTAGCTCACGCCCATGCAAATGAACGTGGAACCCGAGCAGGTTCCTCTAAGTGGCGGTTTGGGTTCCATGCTCATTTGCAGCAGTGTAAGTTGCCTCACTCCCTGAGTTCCTGGACAGTTTGTTGAGCAGACATATGGCTGTGGGTCAAAACCAATGGTACCATTTTGGGGTAGTTGCACCACCCTTTTTAGAACCTATTTTAGTGGTTGGATTGAATCGGATGTTCACTGGGGGTACGACTTGGATTTTGACCCTTGGCCATACCTGGCATTCTCGGGATCGGCCTTGCCGTTTTGCAGCGGTCGCGCAGGTTCCGACTCGGTTCAGGGAAGCCAAGTGTCCGCTATGAAGTGCTAGTATGGAACTCCTGGTATTGACTGCTGGTATGAAGCGCACCCGTAGTTTAATCTTTGTCGACTTGGCCATAACATGGTTGTTGTTGGGACACATTTTTCCAATTTTTGCTTATTGTGGTTTAGTGGTTGGAATCCAACCACTTAACTGCTAAAATTTAAATTTTTGCTCCCCTTCCAACGTCAACCAAGATGATAGGCTTGATTGTCGGGAGCCAGGCCGCATGTGATGGCCATGCTTTTGTTTGGGGGGTTCGGCTTCGGTCAGCCTTTGACTAAGGCCATGGGCAAAATGTACACGGCCACGCGTGCATGATCGTGGACCCCTTTTGCGAATCTCGGGTGTCCCACAATCAAGCCAGACTTCCACCGCTCACCCTCCCAAGAAAGCAGGATGTCACATCGGTTCGCATGATTTCCATAAAAAGTGTGGGCATATGGGTTCAAACAGGCAAGGCCTACCAAGATCAAAGCATGAGTGGGTCGGGGTTGGGTCAACTTGCTTCATGGGCCAAATTGTGGGTGAACTCATTAGTTGAGGGAATGAACACAAGCTCGCCCAGGCTGAATCCAAATCCTGACGGAGACGCACCCGTCTATGCTTGCGGATCCTGTAACTGTCCCATTTTTCCAACTTTCTGCATACCCAAACGGTTCTGGGACTTCCAATCCCTTCATTATACAACCCCAGAGCGGTTTTGTGGTCTCAAAACCTGGCTGTTTGAGGGCCCAGAATAAATCGGGAGCGTCTGGGTACGGAAATTGGCCGCCGTGACTCTCACGTCGAGGCCGAGAGGAAGAAGCAATTCGCCGCAAAAGCGAGGGAATGGAGGGCGGTGGCGCAGGCGGGGCTGAACTTGTTTCGTGAGCCGATTGGTTAAGGGTTGGGTTCCCTCTCAAGAAACACGAATCCCAACACAAAGACCCCTCTGAAGAATCGAAACCAGCCTTGGAAAAATGCTTTCGGAAATTAGTTTTTTGTGGTTCATTTGCGTCCGGATGGCAGGATGCAGTTTACTGGAGCATGTTACGTGCCAGGGTATCCAGGGTGTTCCTTGGGCCCAAGTGGACAAGTGGTCCTGGAGGGAGGCGACCCTTTGTCCAAGCATCGCAATGACTAGGCCCCCCAGTACTGCCCTTTTACCCTTTTTGGGGGGAGGGGTCCCCTGCTAAAATACACCACCGAAAAAAAGGGGCACCCCTGTTCTGACCTCTCTACTGGAGAACCTAGATGAGGTTCGGGAAAGCCGTCATACCCCCACTTACCATGGTTATAGGTCTCCCTTGCGTGGGTTATACCCAGGCCTCGCCCTGCTGTAAGCAGGGACTGTGCTTGAACAAGCCCCTCTTCATTTCTCAGGGCCCCGAACATCTCGCGCACCAGCTCGCGCGCCTCAAGTATTCCGAGCCTCCAACGTCCCTTTTGTGCGCACCCTTCAAGCTTTACCATGAAGATTCCTTTCAGCCGTCCGTGTGCTCATATATGGTAGCTTGGAGCCACTAGAATGTTAACTCCGGATTGGCAAACCTCTGGTTGATGAATTGGGGGGGGGTGTCCCCTTTTAGTGGGGATTTCTCACTTTTGGAGGGGAACACCCCCTAAAATTGGACGGGTTTCCCCCCTTTAGTGGGGAATCGTCACTTTTGGAGGCGAACGTCCCCATAATAAACAGGGGTTTAGGAATCCGGGGTCAACATAGGGGAAGCCACAACGCTTGACTATTGGGTTGGGTCTTTAGACTTTCACTTTTGGGGAAACCAAAAAGGGTTCCACTAAACCCCCAAAAAAGTGAAAAAAACACTTTTTGCAGGGTCGATGTGTCCTCCAACCCCAACCACCACCGAGAACGGGCGCCGGTTGGGCCCTTCGAGGCCCCGCCGAGCCTGGCGCCGACGAACCTTCCGCGGCTGGAGCAGCTGGCGCCGACTGTTCCGGCCATGGCGCCGGCCACGCCCAGCGACGCCGAGGACCGCGCGGCGGTCGCGCCGTGGGTGGGGGCCCTTGGGTGGCCATGGGGAAAAAATTCTAGGGGTAGCTTCCTTTTCATTTCCCTTCCAGGGATCCTTCTCTTCAGGAAACTATCAAAAACCCAGCAGAAACAGATCCGGTTTTTGAAAAGAGCGATGGTTGAAAAGACTGGGAAAGGAATCAACTTCTAGAAAAATGGGACAATCCCTGCAGGTGTAGCCCTGTGTAACCATTGGGTATAACCGTGGTTCCTGGAATGAATGGGATGGGCTTCAGCATGTTTTTTAGGCGAAAATTCCAAAAGATGAAAATTACCAATTGGATCCCCAACTAACAAGGATCTTTATCATGGTAAATGGGATGGGCTTCTCTTCTGAAATAAGGCTATGACGAAGTGGCTTGAACATCAAAATTGAAGTAGATTCTACTGCCTGGTTTGGCGTGTATAGACCTGACAACCATGGAGCCAAGAGTCTTCATGGGCTTGCGCTCAGGCATTCAGATAAGGCTGAATGTGGTTGACTAAAACACGAGGGTGGGAAATTGGTTTGGCTTACCCTCCCTTTCTTCGCATGGAACTTGACAGGGAAATGGTCCAGTTGACAATCAGGTCGAATCCATGTTAAATCGTGGGAGGATACCTTTCGTTCCCCTTGGATAGGGGCCACTTTTTTCTTTTTTCCGCCTCGGATCCGATTCGCGAGGAAGACGAGCAAGAGCTGGAACGACAGCGAGAGGAGTCAAGTGGGGCTTGATTCTAGGGGTACCTTCCCCATTCTTTCCAGGGATCGTTCTTTCTAAAAGAACGACGGCTGAAAAGAATGGGAATCAACCCCTAGATTGATGTCTGCCTTGTTTTCCTGATCTTTGCAGTCGAGGAATCTCCTTTTGCTTGCTGGTGCTCAGTTGGGAGTGAGGGAATGAACCTAGGAAGGGGTGGGCTAAAAGTTAAAAGGGTCATTCGATTTCTCATTCCCTGAGCACCGGCAAGTTGGGGGACCCCTTCGGTTCCATGTCACTCCCCGAACTTTTGTAATTTGCCGAGCTCCAGGAGCAAGAAAGACAAAGAATCAAGGATCAATGCAATCAGTGGTTCGATGAGGAATTGGCGAAGAACCCGCTGAGGCATCGGAGCGAAATTCTGGGCGCCTGTTCAGTTTGCTTCATTGATTTCCTTGGCTCCCAGCGCTCAAAATTTCCATGAATCTCCCAGGGGTTCTAAGTTTTCCGCCTGGCCCGAAAGCACAAAGCTCAGTCCTTCTCGAAGAAGTGTGTTTTTCAGTGTTTGACACGCAAAAGTGCCGTTTGCCCGAAAGGCATGAAAACCACACATCCTTGAAGATCCGGGTGTGCGCTAAATGTCGTTGTCTCCAACAACATAACCATGTTTGCTGTTTCATCGAAACGTCTGATGTTGCGCGGCATAAAGGTGGTTTGGGGGCTTGGACCCTGGGTTCTTGGCGAGGGTAAGTGGTCAGTTACCCGCCAACCTCCATACGACCAATCCACACCACCAATGAGAACTAGGAAATTGCAAGGGGTACTTCAAAATCCCGGTATACCCAAAGCGGTAAACCCCTTTGTCTTCCCTTTAAGGCATAGGCAGAACAAGAGAAACAAAGTAAACAAAAAGAGAGAAACATAATTGCTTCAGCTGGATGGCCTGGTGGCGTCTATGCACAAAGTTCTAACTGCCATCTTGCCGCCTCCGGCATTTTCTTTCTACCCCAAACACCCGGCGGCCCGGGCACCATCAAAAAGAACAATTGGCTTCGTGAGCGGCGCCCGGCGCTCAGGCCAGAGCATAAGACCCTGCTGGCAGAGAGATTGCAGGCGGAGGACCAGGAGTACTACCGCAAGAAGTGGCTCCTCCAGGTGCATGCGGAGGACTCGAGCGCGAAATTGGATCGAAAAGAGGCGTTTTGGGTTGTTGGTTTTCTCGGGCCTGTACACGGTGTCTGAAATAAACAGGTGTGTGTCCCTTTTGTCTTCCAAAGCAGCACTTCCGAAATTGGAACTCGAGAAGATAAACGTGGCCGCACGACCAGCCAGCCTTTTTGGGTTCCATGTTAAGTTGCAAGGGGGGTCCCCTACAAATTCACATGCATTCCTTTCTCGTGGGGAGGTCCCCAGCGGAGTTGGTAAGGAGACGGTCCTTCAATACTGTGGACAACATCCATTCCAAGTAGCAACTGCGGGAAACTACCCCTAAACCCATGGCCTGGGTTTTTCCTGGCAAAACCCTTTCCAACATAGCACGAGGTTTGTGGGTGCTCCCTTGACTGGAGTCCGGGAGAACCTTTCCTCACTCCCTGTCCTCACTCCTCGCAATTGGAACGCCTTGCCATGGAAGTTTTGCAGCGGTTGGAGAGCAATGCTACCGCCTCCCAGATGCCAGTCGTAGGCCTCATCCTTTTCCCCGAAATGCGCAGGAGCAAAAGAGACTTCGGGAGGCGAAGCAGGCGTGGCTTTCATTTCAGTGGATGGGCATGCTCCGCGCGACCCATGGCCAGAGCTCGGCGCTTCCTCGCCGACTTTTTGGGGCCTCAGGGTCGGTTTCGGAAAGTTCGGTTTCGGAAGTCCCTGGATGTGGAGGTGTTCTGGTGTCTTTCCTTTTTCTCCGTGCCATGGAATTCAAGTTGGGGAGGGTGGGCGCAAAAGGGATGGAGTGGAATGGAATGGAATGGAATGGAATGGAATGACAAAAACACCATGGTCGCTGTTAGTGGTGTCGAGTCCAAGGTACCATCGAAAGATACGGCATCCATGGGTTTGGGCCAAACCCTGCGCACAATGACAATGCGGATAGCATCCACCGCCTTTTGCACGATGCTCAGACCGCACCGGCCCGCGTTTTGCGACTTGACAGCCCATCGCGCGTTCTGCTCGAACCACCTGCTTTCCGCTTGCCATTCGTTTGATGTACCAATGCGCTCTATTTCATCTCCGCTCGCGTTCCGCTCGCCTTTCCCCTGGCTTTCTGCGTGCTTGCAGGGTTTCGTCGGTCGCAAGGCGGAGGATGCCGCGAAGGAGCTCCTGGAAGATAGCGCGGAGGAGAGCAGCTACGACAGCCAGGCGATGCAAGGGAGGGCCTGGGCGGATGCCCCCCCCATCCCCCGCCCGAAACACCCCGAGGGTGAGAGTGAGTGGCTCTGCGACGAGCCTCATGCCTTGGGGTGGGGCAAGTCCCGTGGCACAGACCGTTGTACACCACCACGGCAACCACATGAGGCCGCCTTGCAGCTGGAAGTCAAATCAGATGAGAGTACTGGTTTCAAACCATTCGATTGATTGACTCTCATTTGATTGCCCTCGGTCTGATGTGGAGCATTGATTGTCTTCAAGTCAATTCGATTCAAGTCCATTCTGATTGTTGGGGAGCATGGATTGCCTTCGGTCCAGAGTCCCTGCTCGCGTTAGGAACTGTGCTGGCTTCCCAGCTCCCACTGATTTGAAAAATGGCTGCAGCTCACTGCAGATCACTTGGGGTGGAACCTTATCCTCACCCCCTTAAAAGGGAATTGGGGGAGGGGGGTAACCCCTGGCATTCCATTTTCCGTTTTCATGGGAATACTAGGGGAATTGGGGACCCCCCCCCTCTCCCAGAAGGTAGGGGGGATGTGGAAATCAACGAACAGGGCCTGAGCTCAGCCCCGGTTCGTCCATCGGGGAGTGTATGGCTCAGGCACCGGTCAGAAACCCAACGGTTTCAGATTCGATTCCCCCAGTGCAAAGTACCAAGAAACGTTATGGGTTCAATTTCGTGGTGCAGAATGGATGTCGCAACCATCCAGAGGGTAGGGGAAATTCCCAACCATATTTTCCACAGACGTGTCCGCAGAGCTGGAAAAAAGACAGGATGGGGACATGGAGAAGGAGGTGCGTCGCATGCTGGCGCCCATCCAGACGAAGCAGGCGAATTGGGTCAGATCCGGAGGATTTGCTGGCGAATGGATCAATTTCAGCCTTTCTTGGCTCCCCTTTTGCCCATAGTCAAGGCTCTGAACAGGTCAAGGGCATTTGCAGGTATGGGTCTTGGAGGTATGGATGCCTATGCACCACCAAGCTTGAAAAGAAGCGTATACTACTTCAAAAAGTTGTGTGTCTCACCTCCACCTTTCAGGGTGATCACCTTTTGTTTCCACAGAGTCCTTCGGAGAGATTTCGTTCAGTGGAGTTTCCCTAACCTGGATTTCGAGCCAACCGAAAGCAAGCCAATAGGGACTATTCTTGGAGACTCGCACCCCTTTGGGCATGTGTTGTTTCTCCTTGGCTAAAAAAACGAGAAAAACAAAAAGGAGCACCACAACCGGGAAACAAAAAAACGACAACTGGTTGGTGGGATTTGAACCTCTCCAAACCTCCGGTATCCTCCGGTCCTTAAAAGTCATTTTGGGGATCCATACCCGAGCGGCCCGAGCGTTTGGAAGTCAGCTTCTTTTTTTTGTTTTTTTCCGCGGCTTGGATTGGGGGTTTGGTGCTTGGGCACTGCAACGAGGCTTCAACTCAGCCACCAATGGGAAAGCGCCCGCATCGCTGCATGCTCCGGCGAGTTTTGGGTCTGTCTCTTTCAAGGCCACGGGCCAAAGAATCATCCAGCCACTTGACAGCTATTGGGTTGGATCTTTAGACTTTGACTTTGTGGAAAGGAAATCAAGTTGGGTTTTCCGTACTAAACCCCTAAAAAGTGAACAACACTTTTTGCAGGGGGGTCGTTACCGCCACCCAGGCCAGATCCCCTTGGGGCACAATCCTTTCCGTGCCCCAGTCCATGGCTCCTGCACTTTGATTCCTCTATTCGATTTGAATCGCCGGGCCAGCGTGCGAAATCTCACCGTTACGGAGGAGTGGGAATACGATTGTTTGGCTTGCGTAAAGCGAAGCCAAGCACCAAATAGCGGTTTGATTTGTGTGGGGGGGGGGAGGCCGGGGGGGGGGGGGGGGGCGTGTCATGCGATCTCTTTGCGAGCTGTGGTGGGAACGTGTTCTTTTTCTTTCTTTTTTTCCCTTTTTTCTTCTTTTGATTCGGGCGAAGCCAATGGTTGCAGCTTATTCTGATGGCATTTTTTCCCTTCGGAAACGTCCCCCCAAAGAGAAAAGCCACGCACAGTCCTTTGAAAGTGAAGCGCTCTCGGGGCATCGGCGCGAGGAGGGCCGCACCATTCATAACGTGGGGGAGAACATCTGCAATGCATTCGCCTCCCAGCTGGCTGGGGGTGTGACCTCGCGATGGAACCTCCAATGGCCAAGTGAGCTTGATAAGGGAAGGTTTTAGGCCACTGCAGGTCCAGGCTGTGGAAGAATGCACCTCAAGCTCCATGGGATGAACCTCATAATCCCCCACATTCCCCAATCGGAATCGCTGCCTTTCTCGGACTCGTGGTTCTCGGTCACAAAAGCTCGGCCATTGCCTGGTGGATTGAAAGTCTGTGTGCCGTATGCTGGACCCAGGCACAGTTCTTGCAACTCAGTGGGGTTGCACTGCGTGCGCGGAAGCGCGGTGTTCGAACTTGTCACTTCATGGCACTCCATGCCACTGTTGACATGCTCAGTGGCCTCATCAAATAGCAACCCCGAAAAGCATCAACTCAGTGCTCAGATCAAGTAGTGCACCCGGGTGCTTTGTGACCTAAGCGCCCCGAAGAAGGAACCTTGGTTATGAAGTGAGCCTCGGCAGATGATCTAGGAGCGCACCGCCAAACATCTTGAGTTCCTGGCCAGGAACGCCCACGGCTTAATTCAGCACATACGCCATGTACCATAGACTGACTGATCAATTGACTACTCTTCTAAAGCAGTGAACGCACAACTGATCTCGCCCATACAGAATTACGTCAGCAGCGCAATCAAGTTTGGCCAGTCAAGCAAGCACCAGCATAAGAGGATATCCAATTCATTATAACCAAGTAGTAGCCCCCACGCGCCTGAGCAGCCAAGTGACCAAGTGGCCTGCGCAACAAAAAAAAACACTTTTGGGCGGTTGAAGCCGATCTTCCTTTGAGGTGGCGCCTTTCCTTTCGGAGGGAGCACGAGGCTCGCTCCCGCCTGGCATGCGTCTTTTGGGGCTGTTCCTTTGCTCGCTCCTCTTCCCAGGGGCGCGGCTAGCGCATGTAGCTCATGGCTCCTTTGGGCGCATGTAGCGCCGCTTTAGGCGAAGGGCAAGGTGGACCACCACACAATTCAGCAAGAGATCTGCGCGATGATGGAGAAGCGCCTCGCCGGATCTATGGCGCGTCAGCGGTGAAAGCGACCAGTGACTTTATTTGGGGTAAAAGGGGGGACCCTGCAAAAAGGAAGACGACCAGGGAAAGTTTGGCGAAGAAACTTGAAAAACACACATGTTTTTGCTCGGCGACCTTTTGGCGTCCGTTTCTTTTTGAGGGGCACACCAGCAGAAGCGTTTTGGTGCTTTTGTTCCCTGCTTCACTGGGCCAAGTGGCTAGGTGAGAGGGGGAGAGAGAGAGAGCGAGGGCTGGGGTACGGAGGGAGCAAATGGCGCGAACTGGTGCTCAGGAGTCGCACAGGAGGATATGCGGGAAAAGATGGTTCACCCAAGCGAAAAGCCCGCCTGGCTGCTTTGTTCCCACGACAATGGACAACAAGCATGAGATGGAATACGAGGGCGCACAGCCTTTCGCGCGCATGCGTGTACCTTCTGCAGCAAGACATCAGCACCTCTTGCCCAGTAGGCTCAAAAAACCCGAGCGGGCTTTTGCAAGATGTTGATGCTCCAAATGGATGCCCCGCTGACAGACATAAGCCCAACTTGGGTGTCTTTTGCTGTGAGGAGCCCCTTGGGGCTAAGGGTTGAAATCAACCAGAACCCGCCCATTTTGAGTCAGGGCCACACTCATATGCAATCTGCGCAATTGATGGTACGCCCCAGGTGCCCTTGTTTCAAACATAGATGGATGAATGAGTAGAAGCAAGCTGAAACCGACCCATCTGCAGCCCTGCAGATGAACATAGAACCCTGCAATTCCCAAAGCAATGGATTCTCACGGATTCCATGTGGAACGACCAGAAGTGTAGTGGTGCCTCCTTTCGGTTTCCAACCTTAAGGGCGTCCACATTCCTCCGCCTTCTTTTTGAAGAGGTGCAGTATGTGTACCGACTCCAGTTTTTTCCCAACGCCAGGAAGGACCAGCAGCAGATCGTGCGCACGGCGCTGTTTTACGTCCTGCACGAGATCGCTAAGAAGCTGAAGGGGCGGCAGGGCATCTCCCAGCTGGTGCTCAACGTCTTGCGCCTTGGCCAAGCGGCTGGCGCCCGGCTGGCGCCCGGCTGGGGGGGGCGGAGGGCGCCACAAGGCTCACGATGCAGGAGATGAAGACCATGGCTGCAGACGAGCGGCGACATTACGCCGACTTCATCTTTAAGCCTCCCAGCAAGATCCAGGCCTGTGTGTGTGTGTGTGTGTCTTTGTCTGTGTCTGTGTCTCTGTCTGTCTGGCATTGCTTGAGCTTTGGCTCACATGCCCCTGCAAGCTCACTCAACCCAAATACTGATTTGGCTGCGGGTTAAAACCAATGGTACCATTTTGGGGTAGGTACACCTCCATTTGGTCTATTTTAGTGGGGATTGGGATGTTCACTGGGGGATAACCGGGGTTTTGACCCGAGTCACTGAGCTGGATTAAACCTCATGGCGCTGCTCAAGTGCCTTCCTTTAGAAAAGCTGGTAAACCGGTTCCTGGCTTGATAGCTTGGAGGGAGGCCAAGGATGTTCGAAGCGTTGCATTCCAAGCACGCCACAGTTGACAGCAAGACAGCTGGCAAAGACCGTCACACACTGCACATCCGGGCCCCAAAACTGCATTCAGCTGTCTTTCTTTGTTTGCGTTCGTGGGAGTTGTGTCTCTGTCTGCCTGTCTGCCTGCCTGTCCGTCCGTCGGTCCGTCGGTCCGTCGGTCGGTCCGTCGGTCGGTCTGTCTGTCTGCCTGCCTGTCTGTCAGTCTGCCTGCCTGCCTGCCTGGCTGCCTGTCTGTCTGTCTGTCGGTCGGTCGGTCTGTCTGTCCGTCTGTCTGTCTGTCTGCGTGTGTGCGTCTCTGTGTGTGTGTAGTTTAAGTCTGTTTGTGTCTGTGTCTGTGCGTGACTCTGTGGATCTCTTTGCATCTCTGTGTTGTTGTGTGTCTCTGTGTCTCCTTGTGTCTGCGTGTTAGCGTTCGCCATACAACTTGGCCTGAAGTGCTGGGAGATGCTGGGAGGGTACAAGCTTCCCAGTTTGGCCTCCCTTTCGGTCTGAAGTTCACCTTTTGAGAAACCAACCCAAACAGATACTCTTCAATAGGGAAACCCTTCACCAACGTGGAAAACACATTTCACAACACATTTCACCAAACACCTTTAAGCTCAACTACCAACTGCAGATGATTTCTGCTGTAGGCTTTCCTTTGCTTTGAAAGGCGGTGCCCCCCTTCTTTCCCCCTCAAAAGGATTTCTCAGTGCAAGACAACAAGAAAGGAACACCAGGTTTCGTTTGTTTCCCTTTGTGGAACCTTGAAACGTGGCCATCGTTTCAATAGACACGTCACCACTTACGTTTCGTGAAAATCCAGGGAGCGTGAAGCACTCGCCATCCCTGCCCCTTTAAACATGGAATTGGGGGAGGGTAACCCTGGAGATCTCCATTGGTGGTTCAACTCATTTTCCTTTTCGATGGGAAGACTAGACTTGGCGTTTGGGTCACAAACCCCGGACCCCCAAACGATTTCCCTCCCCAGAGAAGCCTTCCGGGGGGGGTGGAAAAGGGAAGGGGGGCGTCGTCCCATTGGCCCCGCGCACGTGCGCGCGCGTTCTATCCATAGGTGTCCTTTTTGGTTGTTTTGGTCGCAAAAAATAGATGGCCCTGGTTTACCTGGTGGTTTAATCATCTACCAGGGAAACCCATCTATTTCACCTAAAAGGACACCTATGGTTCTATCCATTTCCGTCTCAGGGGGCGCGGCCCCCCAGCCACTTCGTGGAGCTGGAGGCCTCCGAGGAGGACTGGCTCGAGACGCTGCGGAGCTGGGAGCGCCGCATGCGCACGGCCGCGGCTCCAGCGGTGCCAACGGCTCCGCCGGCTTCGGCGGCTTCGGCGCCGAAGCCGTCCCAGGCGCCCGGAAAAAGGGGCAGGGGAGCTAGTGGGAAGGGACCAGCGGCCTTCTTTCTGTCTTCAAGCTGATTGTTAACTCAATGTTGGAAGTAAAGGGCTCCTTGTCCTTTCTTTTAGGGAGGAGTTCTCCCTGCCCTGTCTCCCTGTCTCCCTGCCCTGGGATGAGCCAATCGAGTGCACAAAGTGAAGTTCTATTATTGGTTGAAAGATGTTGAAAGGGACAACTGCAGGAAACATTAATGAGCCACCTTCCGGGTTGTAAACGCACGCCCGAGGTTTCGGGCGTAGCCTTTACTTGGCCTATCCAAGGTTGTTCGACAAAGAGCTGCATGTAAGGCGTCACATCTCTTGGCACAGGAAAGGAAAAGGACAGGTCTGACCCAACTCCCCTTACCCCCCCCCCCCCCTTCAGCCCACCCAACCCCAACCCAGCCCATATGAAAAACAAGCCCAGGTGCCATGTCAGTAGCTTCCATCGCAGGCCCCGGAGTTCACGGAGGCTCAGGTCAAGAGGCACCTGCTACCCGGCGCCATCTTGCATAACATGCGTCCAGTTAGCCTTGCGCACACAGACAGCGTGCAGCATCCTCACAAGTCGCAAGTTGGTTTCCGCAAGGTCCTATGGATGTACAGGATTTGGGCCTGCTTTGGTTTCCCTGTCAAGCCGGAAAAAGGGCACCCTCAAGATAAGACACGCGCAAATCGTGGATCTTTCGGGCCCCTCAAAGGATACATCCGAAAACCACCTGCACAAGGATTTGGATCCCATAGATCTGGTGAAATGTGGATTTTCGATGGGCCAAATTGGCATGCTTTGAGGGAGGTGGATGGGGCCTGTGTCACTGGTTGCTCTTCCTTTGGCCTTGACGACGCTCATGGCGGGAGGAGGGGCACCTGTTGTGAGCCCTGGGGGCCCATTGAGCGGGTGCCGGAATATGCCACACGCCGTCAGCTGAGGCTGTTGAACATGAAGAACGAGCTGTGAAGCTTCGCTGGGTTGAAGCATTGCGCCGTTTTGCGTGAGGGAGCCGCCGGGTGCCAAGTCGCAGCTGCGAACCACTCCAAAACCTAGGGCAGAGACCCTAAAGCCAACACCTGTTTGGGGAAAATGGGACAAGGAAGGACAGCCCAACGGCGCCAGTCACGCCCTGTGCCAGACCAGACATTTGAAGGGGCAGCGGTGTCTACGAAGGAGAACTGCTAGCCCACCTAAACTCATGCGACTGAGTGCGCATCTTCCCCGAAAAAAGAGTGGAGCGGCGGAGGTGTTCGGTTGTACCCCAAATAGGTTCTAGGATGCTACGTGCATGATAGTTCTTTGCTGCAAGCAGAATCCTCTTTGTTGGAGCCTGCTTAGGGTGTCCTGAGTGTTCGTGCCCCCTTGAGCGTTTGCAGTCTGACCAGGCCCATGGATGCAGAGAAGAACCAGTGGTTTGTGCGCGCACACCGGTTCGGAACCAGAAAGCGTCCTCAGAATCGTGGATATCACTGATATCACGTGGATTCTTTCCTAAAGTGCTATGACTTCCAGTTTAATGGGGAGCCGCCTCACAGCTGATTAATAAAAGTGAATCCTCTGAATTAGTGTCCACCAAGTCCCCTATGAAAATTCTATACCCAAAGAGTCGGTGGCACGCGACACCTTCGCCTCCCTGCACGCGGGAGCGGATCTGAGTTAGTGCGCCCCAAACCCCGAGGGTCACCATTTTAGGTTTGGTGGTTTTACTGCCTGGCATCAAATGTGTGTAGCTAACCATTATAAGTAGGTACCATTATATAACCGCTATATAACAAGCATACCTGGATTAGAGTAATTCCTTTACATTGTATGTTTGTATAACCATGTTGGGCGTGCCATATACGGGTGCACTTCGCTTTGTCGGCTCAAGCCGCTTGGCGCGCCTGCGTTGCGTGGCATCCGCCAGGAAGATCCAGGGGATACATACGGTGACCTCAAACAGATTGACATTTCAGGACCTGGAAGTTTGTTGAAGATGCAGGCAGCATTGGTTGTATGAAGCTATGCATTATCATCTGGCTGGGGCTGAGGGTCTGCAGGAGAGTTGTCCTCGCCAGGCTCACTTCCCTGGATCTCGCCAAATTCAAAGCATCTGGGTTGGGCACATCCCTTCCATTTTGACCTCCACTTGGATGTGTAGGCTTGCATTTTTTTGGTTCAGGCCCTGTGTGACCCGGCCGGCGTCCAGACGTCCAGACCCGCTGACCCGCTGACTAGCCGGCGGACGCGCTGGACCCGATGCCTCGCGCCAGGCGAAAGTCGCTGACCGGACCGGCCGGAGGCGTTTTGCGGGTTTTGTCCGAGCCACGTGCTCAAAACCGATTCGGGTAGATGAAGGTTAGTAAGCAGTCCCAGCCAGAAAGAGTTGCGGAATTCCGCCTTCTAAATTCTGTACATGGTTTTGGGTAGACCATTTTAGTACCGGGTTTTGACTTGGGTTAGGTGACACATGTTTTGAGCCGCTTCTGACTCTTTCCGGTGGCTTCCCGGAAAAAAAAGGGTTAAATCAACATGACTTAAATGGATTCGGGGTTAAAACGAGAAAACACACCGGTTTTGGAATTCTAGAGTTTGCAGAGTGCGAAGGGGCGCACTTATATTCTTGAGACCTGCGCAGCGAACAATTGCAACTTTAGATGACGACTCAGCAGATGAGGAAAGCAACTCTTTGATGGAAAGAAACACTTGAAATTCAACATCATGTAAAGCACGCACAAACGGACTCCCTGCGGAGGCAGATCCTTCCGTTTTGTTGGATGCAGCCCCTATTAACAGACCAAGTTGATTCAACTGCTTCACAACTGTCCCTGCGAGGTACGTCAAGTAGCATGAATTTCAGACATTTTGAGAGGGTACAACGCTTTGTCCCACAAACCTTCCCAGACCCCAATCAAGAACAACTTGAAGGTCAAGCAGGAGCAAGGCTGGTTTCATTGATTTTTGCCTTTGTTTCATGTGACTTCTTCTTCTTCTTTTTCTTGAACCCTGTTGCATTTCTGCCGGTTTTGCCTTGGTGTCTCTCACGTTTGACGCGTTCAGAAGGCTTCTGAGCGGCCCGTTCCGGAGCGGCAGGCTCTCCGGGGTGTCGCCGCTGGCGCGCGCCAGCGCGCGGAGCAAGGCCCAGGACCGTCTCCCTTTTGATAGCGGGGCTCCTTAAAAGATGACACGGCCGTGGGTCAAAATTAAACCACTAGGGGACCGCAGGTTTTAGTCCATGTTTCCATTTACCAGGGTTCCATTTTGGGTACATATTTTTGACCCGCAGCCACATGGCCGTGGGTCGACGCCAATGGTACCATTTTGGGGGTTTTCGGTGCGCCACCCATTTTAGGCTTCCCATTTTAGTGGGGATTGGGGGATGTTCACTGGGGGTGCGGGGTTTTGACCCACAGCCACATTTTGCAACCATTTGAAACATGGCTTTTTCAACACCAAAACAAAGGCTGAACCCACCATTTACAAGTTGCAATGTTCAGGTGTTTCATGTAAGGATCCCTGTTTCTTCGGGGGGAAAGCCCATCACAATCACTGGTGTGGGGATCCTTGGGCGCCACGTCTTTCTGGGCCGAGTGGTCAGGGGTATGTCCGGGCCCTGGAACTCCCACGGCTGGCGGGACCGCTGCTGCTCCTTCATGTTCCCCTTGATTTCCTTCATTTCCAGTCCCTCTATTTCCCATTCTGTTCATTTCCCCTCCATTTCTTATCCTTTCATTTCCCCTTCATGTCCCTCCATTTGCAATCCCTTGTTTGACTTCAATTTCCTTTCATTTTACCTTCATGTTCCCCCTTCATATCCTCTTCATTTCCAATTTGTGTCTCCAATTCATGTCCTTCTCATTTCCCTCTATTTCCCCTTCATGTCCCTTCATTTCCTCTTCTTGTCCCTGTCATGTCCATTTTCCCCCTCCATTTCCACTTCATTTCCTTTCATGTCCCTTTTGTGTTCCCTTCATGGCTGTTCATTTCCCTTCATTCCCCAGAGTTTTACGAAACTCTTGGTAGTTCCAGTTTGGTTTTGCCATCGCCAAGCCTCGAGGTGACGTGTTGGTAATTTGGATTGGGATTTGGGGGTTGGAACCCCAGAGGTTCACCTAGTTTGAACATTTCCCCTGTTGCCCTTTGAGGGAAGGATTGATGTTTCCAGGCGAGTGCTGACTGGCTGACTGGTCAAAGCAGCAGGTCAGGAATTCGTGGCATCTGCGGAAAATCTGTTTCTTGTAGAGGGCAAATAGATGCTTTTGCGCTAGGGTCGGGATGACCAGACATGTGTTGTGGGTATTCTAGCCGCAAGTCTGGTCTTTTAAGCATGTGTTCGGCCCCGTACATGTGGAATCTGGCAGACGAGGGAGTGTTCCCTCAATAAATCCATTTCGCACCGCTTTGAAACCAAGGGAGTTCACTGCTGGTTGGTATTTGCACGGGAATCATCATTCCAGGGTTTCTTAGGTGGTGCGAATTGGATTTCGTAACCATCCACAGTATGTCACCCAAACTCAAGTGGGACCCCCCCCCAAGCAGAACTCCAGGACCTCCTGCCGACCCGAAATAGAAACTTGAGGTGATACTTTCCTTGGAGTTCATCGCTTCAGTGACCCATGTGGCCTGAGAGACTGCGAGACCCCTGGTTTAGAATTACGTGACAACCCCATAGCTGTGTGTCAGGGAGTTGATCTGGAAGAGAGCCTCGAGGCATTCCCAGCAACGGGAGCAGGGGGATACTTGATCTATGTTTGAGGCGGAGTTGATACCAACCTTTATTAGGGTGCTGCAGAGGGCACGCGGGGTGGGGCTCCCAACTTTGTCCAGCCCAAAAACGACCCTAGGGGAAACATGGCCTCGGTCTCGAACTTGATGGTTCCACTTCCCTGTGCAACCTAGCGGACTTAGTCTGGAGGACCCTACTAAAAGGAAGCCGCCCATGTTTTCTTTTGAGCGGTCCGGTGAAATCCGAAGTTGACACGGCCCGACATCTCGGAGGACGTGGAAAAGATCCTGAAAGAGGCGGACTCAGATGGTGACGACCTGCCGCTGAGCAACAAAAGGGGGGTCAGGGTGGGCGTCGTGATGGCAATTTGGGTAGGTCGCTGTTTATCTTCTGTTGTCGTTCCCGCTTAGCCAAAGCCAAACAAGTAGTCAACTTGCAATTCTGCGTCCAAACTGGGCAAGTGAGTGTTTGGCCGCTGGACGCCCGCTATTTCGAGACCAGCCCAAGCCACGTAGACGGAGGCAGACAGAGAAAGACAGACGCAGCTGTAGACGCCGATCCAGAGGACTCGGACATGCACGCACACACACACATGCCTACATGCATACGTGAACACCCCTGTGTAGCACACACGCGCGCACACGCACGTACGCACGACCGACACACCCACGCACCCACGCACTCCCGAGCGCCCGCCTGCCCGCCTGCCCGCGCACCCGCCACAGGCTCACACGCACGCGCGTGCAAGCACACGCGCATCCACACAGAGACGCAGACACAGACACACAGACAGAGTCAGACACACAGACGCACAGACACGGACACACGCATAGAGACACACACACACACAGACACACGTAATTACAGTCATACACACGCAGACACACATACACACATAATGTCTGTTCTTTGGAACTAACCTTCCGTTCTTGAGGGAGTAACCTTCTGACATTTCAAGTTCTTAAGCTTCAGCTTGCTGTGTGTGCCACAATGCTGGCAAAATAAACACCACTACAAAAAAACGCAAACCTAGAGGACACAATGGACAGAGGACAGGCGACAGAAGACAGAGGGCAGCGAGCTTCCAAGAAGTGAGTGCAGCGCTCGCCTGCAGGTAAGCACCCGTCAACTGCTCAAAGAAACAATTCTGAGTCCAGGCACAACATGCTTGCTGCAATGAAGATTCCCACATGCTCCCAGCAATGCACCATTTTTCCCCACTCACTCCCTGCCCTTGGCAAGCTCTCTTAGCTTGATTCTGGCATTTGCCATCGCAGTTTCCCAGGTTCGCTTAGAATCAACAGAGTTCGGATCAGGCATGACCTCGTTCAGCTCATCT